CCCAAACCCCCCGAAACCTACAGAACCCTCTTGCATAAACCCTTGTACTTAAGCACAGAACCTACGAACTACTGAACCCTCCTAAACCCCTCTACTTCAGCCGCCAGACCCCAAATCAACCCAAGCCAACCTACAAACCCTGGGATCCCCCAATTCCCTTTTCAGTTACGTAGTCAAAGCCACCCAGACCCCAAGCCAACCCAGGAGCCCCCCAATCTGTCGAACCTTGATCCGTCCCAGATTGTTCAAGCCAAACCCTTTTGGTTAGGGGGGGGCTGCCACTATATAGGCCTCCACTTTAATACTACCCCAACCCTAGCATGTCCCGCCAGCCATGCGATGAATCGTGAAAGCTTCATTTCTCCGCATGCACATGGTAACGCTTTGAGGCCATGAAAGTGGCAGCGAAGGCAGAGACCAAGGCCAGCAGTTTAGAGTGCAGCGCTTCAGACGCTTCGCAGACGCGGGCCTGGGATGTCGCAGATTGGCACAGGAAGTCCTTGACTCGCTCTGGGGTCTGCTTTGCGAAAACGCAGCCAGAGATGCCAGACCCCCAGCAAGCAAGACATGTGAGTGCAGCTCATGCCAAAGACCCAAGAACCCCTCTTGTAGACATAAGACTTATCGTGCCTGACAGGCACACACCGACGACAAGATTGTGACGAGGGAGCAGTTCATTTCCACCTACGGCCACGAGAGCAACCTGCAAGTGATAGTATTGAACAAACCCATCTCAGGATTTGCCGCGCCAAGCCGAGATTGCTCCACGTTCCCTGCTTAGAGATCCGCGTTTGTTGCAACAGGCATGCGCAAGTTCCTGGACTTGATCAACGCCCACACAGAAGATCCAGACCATGTGTTCTCCATGATCGACCGCAGCTTTGTCAAATCCAAATGGGTTGTTGTCCAACTGTCGCGTCTTCATTGGCAGATCCAGGGGCACTTCGCCGCCAATAACATGGACTTAAAGTCAACTCGAGAGTTGCGGGAGGTCAAGCCTTTCGTGCTGAAGGGAGAGAAGGGATGATACGTCCCTGCTGAGAGTAGGAGGAGGAGGAGTGGTTGTGGTTAGGCTGAGCGGTCTTGACGAAAGCATCGAATCACCTTTCGGACACCCTGCATTGAACTTGATTGGCCAAGGTAATCTTACCGGGCTTACTCGCTTCTGAAAGTTCTGTCCTGGCGGTGGTAGGGAATGCTCAGGAGATGGCGATGGGTCCTTGACAGCTCCTGAATTCCTTGTTTGTTGCGAGCGCCTCATGGGCCCGTCGAAGGCTCGCGGCAGCATGGGTTTCAACCACCTGAAGGAATTTGCATGTAGTGGTGCATGCAGAGACTGGCACGAAACACTGTGGTGTTTCCAAGCAGCAGCAAAACCATCGACTGCCAGAGGCGAGCATGATCGTGAAGATTGCAAACGAAGAGCAGCTGCGTCGCAACGAACTGTTTGGATTCCACTGTTCTAGACCTGTACACACGGACCTGCCGAGGATCTAAAGAAGTTTGATGAACATTTTGTTCGGTCTTATATAGACGAGACAAGAGCCGTGCTATGCTAAGGCGCGAGCGAAGCTTTCAGCAGGACGGATGCGGCCTTTGCGACCGGAATTGAAGTTGTCTTAGCGGGCGAGCTGTATAACGCAGCTGGAGTTCAGACAATTCGCAGCTGAAGACATGCCTCAGCACTTCAGACTGCATAAAGACATCGTAATTCCGATGGCTGGAGCGCAAATGCATAGAAGCACAGCATGCACACAACCAGTGACCAGCCACAGGACCATGCTGTATGCGCAACGTATCTCCGTGAACAGGCTGCCTTAAAGCCATGGCATTGCTCACACTGGATCCTGCTTCCTTCCGTCGGCCAAAGGGCCAGCAGTCCACCCGACACCTGTACCTTGCGAACTGCGGATACGGCTTGGGCGAATCGGTCGAGACAGTACTGGAGAGGCTCCAATGGGCCCAAGCCGACGTTCTTGGATTGCATGTGGGTACGGGTGGTGTGTCATATGCAAGCTTCTCAGACGCCTTCACTGCCGAGAAGGTGAAGGCATACTTGGAAGCTTCGACCAAGTGGGTCGTGCGATTTGCAGAGCTGTGTTCTGAGATTTCATCAGGAGTGCTTCTCCCTGAGAGTGTAGCGGCAACAGAACATGTAGTAGTACCTGGTGTGCACCTGGTAACTAACTTCATAACGGACGAGGAAGCCTCCAACCTTCTGGAGGAAATTGACGGACGGTCATGGGACACGAGCATTAAGAGGCGTGTTCAGCACTATGGACATGCATTCGATTATGCGACTCTGAAGATTGCAAAGCCCGGAACGGTGCCGGACATGCCTGCTTTCGCCGAGGAGCTCATCTCCAGATTGTCAGAGTCCTGCCTAATGCCACATGAAACCGACCAGCTTACCATCAACGAATACGAGCCGGGTGTCGGGATTGCTTTCCACGTGGATGCGCATTCAGCTTTCGAGGATGGGATTGCGGCAATCACACTGGGCTCAGGGATTGTCATGGAGTTTCGGAAAGCTGACGAGACAAGTGGAAAGCTGTCTATGGGAAGGCACCATCGGATGGCACCCCCACAGCCTGGAGCCGAAATCTCCAAGAACCTTTGGCTTCCACCTAGATCCCTGCTTGTCATGACTGGCGAAGCTAGATTTGCTTGGCAACACGGGATAGCTTGGAGGAAGACCGACTGCTTAAAGGAAGGTGAAGTCGTACCACGTTCTCGGCGCGTATCTCTAACATTCAGACGGGCACGCCGTGGACAAGCGTGCAACTGCCAGTGGCCATCACTCTGTGACAGCCAGAACCCTGAAGCCCATGCCACGCCGACGCGAGTTGGCGCTCTGTCATCAGGCTGACCAACAGGTTGTGCCGTCTTGCTCTGCCAAAAAGTTGATGCCTGCACGCAGTCTGTTTGCATGTCGCCAGTCCGCCACTTTCTAAATGTGTGGGAGCCCGCAGGAAAAGGCTCTCAAGACGCTGGCTGCAGATTTCAAGGCCGAGAAGCGCAGAACAGCTTTGACTCGGGTTTATGCTGCGGCTACCTCCATAGATGCAGCCAGGTATCGCACGAGATACAGCTTACGGCAGCAATCAGAAGTTCATTGCGTCATTTTGTTGTCTTGTCCATGCAGGCGGGGCAAGAAGAGATCCTCAGCATCCTTGCGCGGCTTGGGCCCGGTTTTCATATGCAAGGCATGCAATACACGGCTATGAACGCCGCAAGTCCGTTCACCTTCTCGAAAAAGGGACGCAGTCGCGGAGAGCCAAGGAAGAGTGGCTCCTCCCGATAGACGATAGACTGCCAGTTTTCAGAGACAAGACTGCAAGTCAAGACGGGGAGCGGTGCTGTTATGCAGTGTCGGGAATTCTCAAGACCGTGAGAAGCTGAGGTTGGTCTCAACTGCAGGCAATGCGCCGGCAAGACTTGGAATGGCACCCTTTTCTATTGTCCATCTGGCTCTGGTTCGACGCTGCCCTGAGGGGCCAGGGCTAGCACGTGCAGAACTTCATAACTTCGTCGCGAAAACAGAACAGATGGACACAAGCTGCTGTAGTGCATAGACAAGGCTGACGTCCTTGGAATCTATCGTTTTAAGGTTAGGCTTTCTGCTTGACCTCACCTTTCTGATGTGGACGGCGAGGCTGACAGAGTAGCCTTTGATATTCGTGGAGACGATCCGGAATTGATGAGCAGCTGCAACAGGTATGCATCTTCGTTTTCCAACTTTCAGAGAGCCGCCGCCACTAGCGATGTATTTCACCTTGCGGCGCCTTCGTCCCAAAGTGGAGTCGGCTGCAGCGACACTTGAAAGCGCAGCTGCCGTTGCCTTCAAGTGTCCCTAGCCGCAGCGCACCGCAAGCTGCTCCGACCAGAGACTTCCAGCTGTGCTTCGGCACGACGGCCTTGAGGTACCCGACATGTACACACACTAAAGGTCCATGCAGCAGGAAGCCTTTGACCACAGTTTGGATGCTTCTGCATCGTAGATCCTTTTCTGCCACGCTACATTCCGTGACACCAGGCAGGACACATGGACGCACTCCTTAGCCAACACCCGAATCCAAGGCAGAACAATCAGAAGACCTTGCTTGGGTTCCGAAGCTCCACAGATTCAGATACTGGCATCCAATGTATCCCCGACTCCCCCAGCTGGTTTTTCCTATGCCAGGGCATTCCATGCGTGCTGAGGATTTCCAAAGCTTCGGACATCCGACACGTGGAATCCGCAGACAAGCATGGAGCATTCGGACATTCGTGGCAGCAGAGGTAAACGGCAATTCTGCGATTAGGGCTAAAAAATGGCCGCATCACGAGCGTACTGTCATATGCTGTCTGTACCGAGGAACAGCATCCAGCTTGCGCGGTCAGTGGCTCAACAAGGCTTGAAACAGTATTAAGGTGAAGGGGTCCGGTTTCAGAAGCTGAGCCACGACGGAACGGTCAGGTGGCGTCGTTCTTTGCGTTGACTGGCATCGCAGCAGACTTTGCAGCGCAACACGGGCCTGCATTGCGGCCAACGCCGTAGGTCGCTGAGCGTTCGTACCTGGACTTCCTGGTATGCCCACTCAGCCGTTGAGTCGCGACTGCCAGGTGCGACACAACAGTCGCATCTATGGCCCGGTAGCCTGGGTTATGTTACGCAAAAAAGGGTGCGGTGGAACTTCGGACATTAGAACCGGTGATTGCTAGCAACTTTGCTCGGAGACACTCTTTCTAGATCATGCATCCACTAGAATTTCAGAATGTGATCGCCAAGTACTCTCCATTTACCGGGGAAGCAGCAGCAGCAACAGAGTATGTGCTTGTGCGTTTGCGCATGCGCAAACGTGGCTTAATATTGCACTGTCTTTGGTTGCCCCTAAACCGTCCTACTATACTACCACTGCCACTGCGACTGCCAGCGCCACTGCCATACTACTACTACTACTACTACTACTACCACCACCACTACCACTACCACTGCCACTACCACTCCCGCTGCCACTACCACTACGACTACGACAACTATCACTATGGCTACGACTCTGCTACTACTAAAGTCTACAGCTTATATACGAATTGCTGCTGTACTACTCTACTAGTACTGTACCACTACTTTGTTCCTGCTGTACTACTGCTTTACAGCATTCTGCACAGCCCATCTCCCCCTACGGGGCCAGGAACCTCTAAAGAGCTTGTCTCCCTCTGCGACTCTGCGAGCCGTTGGTTCGCTATGCCTGGGAAAATACAGGTCGCAACTAGCTGCCATCTGTGTTTCCAGCATTTACACCGACGTCGCTTTTTGGAAACCTTCCGCGCGCAACTTTTGTATTCTGTTGGGGAGACCGCCAGCAACGACCAGGAAGGAGACCACCAGGAGACCACCACGACTTCAGGAGACCATAACAGGACCACCAGGACCATCACGACACCAGGAGACAACAGGACATCATCCAGAGAACACCAGCAGATCATCGGAAAACTGAACACAACGAGCACTCCGCGACCAGGACGAGGACACCAGGAGACCACCAAAGGACCGCCAAGAGATCACCAGGATGGTGCTTGAGATGCCAGGAGCACCAGTTCAGATCACTGCACGGTTTAGGGTTTAAGGTTTCCCAAAGCTCGCGTGCGTGGAAGCTTTGGCGTAGGTGAGGCTTATACGCTGTATGTAGTGGTTTTGACTTTAGATTCACAGGGACCCAGAAGTTCCAGAAGTTTCTTGGTGAGAAGAAGTGAGAAGTAAAACGCGCCTGAATCTGCAAAGCCAGGGCTTCGATAGCAAAGAGGTTCTTGCCTGCGCAGGTGTTGGACGGCACGTCGAGCTTTTACAAGCGGACTCCCGGGGCCTGTAAAGGCCTAAGACGCCGACGTTTCGCCGGCCACAGCCACTTCCATCGCAAGTCGTGTGTTCAGGCATCGTGTCCTCCGGCCTGCAGCCCAACGCTCAGCACGGCCTCGCACGAGACATGCCAAAACATCGACTCAAGATGACCGAAAACGACATGGGCTCAGCAGGGAGATGTTTCCGAAGCCAGAAATGCCAATTAGGTCAGCGGCGTGTTCCTTTCACCTCCCTGGGCGGACCAGGCGTGCTGCCACTAAATTCCTTCTGCAGGCAGCGGGAAGTGTCCTCTGCCCTCCAATCCGGAAGGGCTTGCTGCCACGAGGGCAGGCCGGGCCCGCCGGGCAGGGTTCCCCTGGCTTCTCGCTGCGCAGCTTGGGCGATGCCAGGAGCTCGGGCAGGCACTTGCCAGATGCTAAACTTGCAAATTGACTCACTTGGTTCCGATCGCTGCCCAGACCTCACCTCGCTGAGGGCCTCGACGCTGCCGAGCTGCTGTTGGACGCGCTGCAGCTGGGGCCGGGCAGCCCGATTCAGGGGCGCAGCGATGAGCCAAGCCTATATGAGATCACATAGCTTGTTTTAACGACATGAGGCGTGGCGCGGCTCTCTTCTTGCCACGTGCTATGCCCTCAACATCCGCAACACTCGCATAGGATACGCCCATGCCACCAAAGTGACCGTGGTTGGAATAGTGCAGTTCCGATCCATGCCGGGGCTTCCATGGCGTGCTAAGCCTACTAAGCATGACCTGCTTAACCTCGGCATTGTATTTCAAGCACCTTGAGGAATCTTGCGGACTGCAAGTGCCTCCTTGAAGCCGAGGTGACATCAAGCGCCGAGGTGACCCGTGCAAGCCTGCACTCCAAACGATTGTTTCAGAGACAGGGGTGCCCATCAGGTTCTTGGTTTCCTGTGGTGCATAATGTGAAGCCAACTTGTAGGAACTTCTGGGTGGAATTTCTGGTCGCCAAGTCGCCTTGTTGCACGGGAGACGTGAACCGCCTGCACATGCTCGACGACTTTCGACATGCTGGGTGTGTACCCAGAGGGCCAGCGACGGAGGCAAGAAACGCCAAAAACCCAAATGCCGCTCAAAGGCCGCCCAGTGCCCATGCCATCCATGCCCAGCCACAGCAACACCCAGCAGCTCGCCATAGCTCGCCCAGCAGGGCCCCACCCTTACCTTTAGCCTTCAGCCTTAGCTCACCTCTTACACACGTTCTCATTGGCCGTCTGAGCATGGCCATGGACGTAACAGCCATGATGAATGTCCCAGACATCTCCCGGCAGCGATTCACGGGCAAGGCAGGAGATTCCATTTGGTGGTTCCCTCTTGCGGATCTTGAGAGCGCAGGTCACCCGATTTCATGCAGAGAGAGGCTGGGGAGCCTCGTCCGAAAGGAAGCCTGAACTAAACATCAGAGTTGATAGTGTCGGGAATTGCATTGGTACGGGCAGAGAACAAAAGCATGTGTTTATTGGCCGGCAAACCAGACACGTTCTGAGTCCAGCGACATCCTGAGGCTTCATAGATCTCAACGGCACCGACATCATGGTTCATGTCAACGACTGCAAACCAGAAGATGTCGATACTCGTGCAGTAAGCATTTGTCGCCGTCACGCCCGGCTTGCAAATACTGACACTGCACGGATGGTTTGGTCACAGCCGAGGAGCTTTTCACAGGTGGCCAGCCAAGACCTGGAGACATCGTTTCTTTCGAGGTCGAGCCACGCAAGGACGCAAGCAACAGGAAGGCAGACTGTGTTTTGGTTGAACACGTGTGATGTTGAATGATGCTGTCGGCAAGGACAACCCTGGCCACATGCAGGCCAAAAGAGCATCTCGGGCTGATGTGGTGAAGTGGCATACGGCAGTAGCATGTTCACATTCCGGGTCAAGGTCATGGGTGGTACGGACGAGCGCTGCTGCAACACAAAAGGCAAGGGCCAAGCTGCCCCAGCGCAAGGCGCGGCATGATGATCTGACACGAAGAAGACATGCTTTCGTGTTTCTCACATCGGCACAAGCCGTCACAGGCACCGGAAGGCACTTTGGTGTCATCAAGGCTTTCAACACGAAAGGTGCCCAATCCCGGCCGGACTTGACTTGAGCTTCCGTTTCGGGTGCAGGGTTTGCGCGGGTCTTGGTGTCGCGCACATATCATGTCAAGCTCACAGCACTTTCGACCGATGCTGCACGATTGGCCTTTGCATGCATCGCAAACAGCTGCCTCTTGCTCAGCGTGCCAACGTCCTGCTGGCAGCCGGTTTGACGGTTAGTTGCCTTCTGCAGACATTAACGGCTGAGCCAAGCAGTTGCTGGCAGTTTGCATGCACACAGAAAGCCGGCTTCGGAGGCCTTGGGTGGGTGCAATGCATGGATGGATCAACTGCGTGGATAGACCTGGCCGACTGCATCGGCTCACGGCCGGTCACAGGCCAGCTTGGTCAGCTTTGCACGGCTCAGCCTACAACGCATTTTCCTGTCGTCGGTTGCATCTGGATTCAGGTGACCGGGTCCAGTTTGACCTGCAGCCCTGCGAAGTGAAGCCAGGGAAGATGCAGGCGGCCATCAAGCCTTTTTTTTTTCTTGAAAGGTTTGTGTTTTTGCACAAAAAAGACGGGCAGAACGAGATACACACTTCTGAAAACGAAGAAATACAGCAGCAGGCAGTCAACGTTACTGGTGGCACTGCCCCATTGGATCTTAAGGATGCAGTTTTGGGCGACTTGGCCATTAACTGAATTCACGATGAGTGTATCTAATTACTGTCTCTGGGTTGCTCCCGTCATAGTTTAGTGCTTTCGACAGTGTCTCAGTTCCTGAGTCCTTTCCTTTCGCTGCCTCGTCGGCTTCAAATAAGGCAAAGACATGGCCAAGGCCAAAGCAGCTGCGCATCTGTGCTGCAATGCTGTTGTATTACAACAGTGGTCCTTTGCCCATGTCGAAGTCATCTTCGCCGTGTCGGATTCAGGCCAGCCCCTGTACTCCAGCTGAAGCGAAATGCGAACGGCCACCTAGTCGGTTGTGTTCTTCGGCAAGAAGCAGCATGTGTAGCCTGATCACAGGTCTTTGTGCAGGAGAGTTGCCCGGATAGATTCGTGGAGGCAATCAGAATGATGTGCTCGATAGCTGAGGTGTGCGCAGCATGTCGACAAAGTGGCATGTCAGACATCCCCGTCATGACGACGATGGCTGCGCAAAACTCTGTGATGGAACCTCCTGCGAGCAACGCAGCACTGCCTGTGCCGAATGCGGGCATCGCCCTTCCCAGCATTATGCATGAAGCACCGATGGCAGAGATGATCAAGCAGCGCGTGTCCGGAAGCAACAGATCTAGCCCCTACAGCGGGGGCATGGGGAGCATGGGCAGGCTGTACTAGCCATTGCCATCCTTGAGATTGCCTCTCCACGGCGCATTGGAAACAGCAGCCCGTAATGAGCATCAAGTTGCAGATGCACTTGCTGAACAAAGCAAGTGCTCATTTGCTACTGTCGCATAAGCTGGCAGCTTCAAAAGAGCAGGGTTTAGGCCAATTGTGCCGCTGCAACCTAGGACAGTAGGCAGCAGATGCAGCAAATCGTCCCAGAGTGGGAAGCATGGTGCCGGCAGTCCTTCGCCGTTTGGCTTTTGTTTCCGCGATTGCCTCCTAGAAATTGTCCAAGCCTAAGCTTCGTCCTGTCGTCATAGTATCTATGACAACTGAATCAAAACGTACTCTTAAGCCGCCCAGCATGAAAGATTTCAAAGGTCTGAAGCCCTAGCCCTGGGGCTTCCGATGCTGAAGACTCTGAGTCTTCTGCCCTTCTGCGCTCGGGTGACTCGGGTGACGGCAGGCAGAATCTCCACTGAGGACTCCTGCCGGCAACAGCTCCTGGCCGACGGTAACTGCTGTTTGGATCAGCGTGTAAATCGTGATGTGTTACAGAGGCGGCTTTCCAGGCCGGGTACCACTTGGCAATGTGCGTCGAAGGATGGCTGCGTGTCAGGTGACGGCCAGCGAGGTGGAGACTTCGTGGCATTGCCTCCAGATGCGACCTGTGAGACATGCCGAATCTTGTTCCTTCACGGTGGCAGCTGGTACTATGGGTCCCCTGAAACCGACGGATACAAAGCGTTGGCAACGAAGCTTGCGCACCGAACGCGCTGCGTGATCATGCTGCCGGATTTTCCTTTGCTTCCTGTTGGAAAGTTCCATTCCATGTTGGCAGCTTCTATTGCGGCGTTGCAATACCTGAGCACTTACCAAGTTTGGGCGAGTTGCCGTCCATCAACTCCAGTAGATATGTTCGTCGGAGGTGATTCAAGCGGTGGTTCCACAGCGCTGAGCGTTGTTCTGAGATGGAAGCTCGATCCTGACATTCTTCCTTCTCATGCCTCGCTGGCAGGGGGCTTCTTCTGGAGTCCTTGGACCAATCTCATGTGCAATACCCCAGAGTATATAACAAATGCCTACATGCATGCACCACCGCCGACTGAAATATCTGACCACGTCGGTGACATCGTTTTCACACAGCGGCCCGTTGACAACATGGCGATGTTTCGCAAGAATGCTCTTGAATATGTTGGTGGCCGCGTAGAAATGCTGAAGGATCCCATCGCCTCCCCCTTCTACGCAGATTCGGAGTGGCAAGCTGGCTCTGGCGGCTCAGGTATGGCATCCCCAGCGCTTTACTTCGCAGTCGGGTCTTCCGAAACAATCTTAGGAGACACCACGATCCTTGCTGAGAAAGCTGCTGCGAAGGGAGTACAGGTCGTTGTCGACATTTTCCACGGCATGTGGCACGACTTTCCCATGTACTCGGATGGCTGTGGTTCTGAGCAGCCGCTGTGGTCAGGACAACGGGCCTGGAACAACACAGTCGAATTCCTGAAAGCAGCGAGTGCAACGAAGTGGGCGAAGGGAGGCGGCTCAGGCGGCTGGCCACTGATACGCTACGTTTATGACGAGTCGGCCTCTGGTCGAGCTGGATGGTTCCCGACAGCTAGGCCACTCTTACTCGGGCTCGGGCCTGCGTCTACGGAGCCAGGCCACCCAAGGCTTCAGTCTCTCCTACTCCTGCTGTGTGGTGGATTCCTAGGGCATCTCATGTCCACGGGCCTGCGACTCAGGAGTTTAAGGGACTTCCTGCACCCAGCCTGTACCTACTAGGCATTACTAGGCCTCATGTTATGCGAGCAGAACTCTTGATGAGATCGTCTCAGGTTTCGGCCACCTGAAAATCGCTGCGCAGAAGCTGCTCGAGAAGAAACGTGAGTTTGCCAAGCCCGAAGAGATGGCGCCCCTGATCGAGCCTAGTCGGATTCCTCGGCAGTACTCTTAGGCGTACCTTGGCGGCTAGTCACAGCTCGTCTCACTCGACTCTGGCTTGCATGGAAAAAGGGGTTCCCGCCCATCGGATCAAACGAAGATACAACTTTCCCAAATCCTCCCTTAATTGGTTGCCTGCCTGCGGGTTGTCGGGCAACATGGAGGAGACGGGTGAACATTGGAGATTATGCCCGTGGGGCTGGCTGCATGCTCAGTATATCTCAGTATAGTATGTTTTTTCTGCAGATGTGGGCTTTGAGGGCCACTGGCAATATCGTCCACCACTTGATCTGGCTTTGCCATTACCATGCTTTACACGAGAACGGCTTTCCTCAGTGCAGGACACATAGTGTGCCATCCGATGCGAATCGAAATTCTTCTACCTGTGATGACAGAGATCGGTCATCACAGATCGGGAAGCATGTCCAAGCACAGCGGGTAAAACGAAAGCACCTCCTACCCGAAAGCTTTCAGCCGTCCCTTTGAAAACAAACAAGAACGCGGGTTCTCTGTGAATTAGGTTTGTGCTATAGAGACTAATTGAGGGTCAGTGAACAGAGGCCGGCCATTGACATTTCCAGGGTTTTATCCTTCACGACAAGGGTGCCGCGCAAGCCTGCTGAGAGTTTTTCGCCATGTGGTTGAGTCGGCTGAGCGAATGAAGTTGGCAATGTCATTTTTGAGTGGATTGTTTGGTTTGTCTGTCCATCTACACATACAACTACCGTGTCGTGAACATGATGCTGCTGCTCCGGAGTTTTGGTGGTCGCGGCATTTCATAGCATGTGATCTGTTAAACTGAGGCTCCTGGGTTGGGTATAGACATTACGAAAGATCCCCGTCATGAAGACGTAGTTGGACACAGAGACCTCGTCTCGCGGAGTTCGAGTTCCGAGAGCGTAAAGGGGATCTTTCACTTTCAGCATGTAAGATGTCGGACCCTAGGAGGTCGCTCCATCTTAGAGTCCGCAAAGGGATGGGGTGTTTGGGGCCCAGGGTCCAACGAATTCAGAGCTCTAAGCCCGAGTGTTGTAGAGGGATCTACACCAACTGTGAGACTTTGAGCCCCCCTGCCCGGGCAAAGACTGTACAAGTCACATCGTATCGTAAATTTATACAGCCTTGTACTCGCAGCATCTTGCGCTGCGTCCACATTCTGGCTCTTGTTTGCCATTATCCTTCAGCGGCAAGTCACTGGAAACTGGTGGCAGAACGCATCACCTACTGAAGCAGCGGCCTCGGTAAAAGTTGACTTTATCTGTGAACGATATCAGTGGCTATTGGATTCCGCTCCATGCGTTCATGATGGTGACACCTGACAGACAGGAGTAGCGATTCCCACCTGCTTTTCTGTGCTGTGTTTTTTCTGGCAAGCGCACGATGCACATCGATGGCAGGGAACCCTCCACTCCCTACCGCCCTCCATCGGCCATTCCCTCATTCCCCGCATTCCCCCAATTTGTTCCCCAATCCTGAGGCATCATGTCGTTCCGTGATGCAGATCTCCGCAGCGCTCCACGCAAGCGTCCCCAGGTCTCCGGCGGTTTGTGCACGCAAACCAGCATCATATTAAGATTGAGATGCAATCGGCGTGGGCTTCCAGCAGGCATCGGACACCCATAGCGCGGGGGCTTGTAGTGGTAACATGAAGCAACAGCAACCCCTGCGAACCTCGTCAGTAAGGCAACAGCAAATCAGTACATATCCGGACTGGACCGTTCTACCGTTCTAGCTGCAATAAGTTTGTCTCGCATGTTTACTGGCACAGAATCTCACAGAAGTTTTGGTATCGTGGCAGGGTGATGCCGCCGTAATTCCGGTAGAGAGGGCACTGAAGCGTCGGGGCCTTGGAAACTTGGAGGCCACAAACCGGAGGCGCTTCTCGGTGTGGTTGTCTTCTGTCTGTGAGGTCGCTCTTCAGTGGCAAGTCCTGCTCGCAAGAGGGCGTGCCGACCTATCACCACAGCACGCCCGGCTATCTCAGAGCTGAAAAGCATCGCACCCGCCTTATGAGACTGGTGAATAATAGTAGGATAGTAGGTCTATAGGACATCAAGGAGATGGCTTTCCGGTCAGGTCATCAACTTGGAGCGACGACCCGACCGCATGGAAGGTGCGGTTGCGATCAGATGGAAGGTTTAGGTCTTGCTGCCGTGCCGGTCCTGTTGACCGGCCATGTTGACATTGCTGACGCCAGGATGCGAGCAGCGCTTGCGCAAGCACTGCGCCAACCTGCCCTTCGAGCGCTTTGCAGCCACTGATGGGCGGCAGGCCTTGCTTTGCCAGTAGTATCCGTACCTTGTTAGTGCTTGTATTTTGTGATGTTGATGGTGATCCCGGCATGTTTGCAACGGCTCGTGACTCGTTTAAGTAAAGGAGCACAGAGTTCGAGTGTGCAGAGACGATGCTGTCACTCGTGTTGCAGCCGCCCACGACCGACTTTCTAGTAGCGGCTGCTGTTGCCTGCGCCTTTACATTGCTTTAACTTACCTTCTCAGTAAACGGCGTGTGTGCACTAGCTTAAGCCGATTGAGCCGAAATCACTCCGGAACGGCATCTTGTGTGGCAATGCGCCACTGCTGATCAAGGCCTCGATCCCCCTGGAGGAAGTCGCCACTTCTTGGAATACTGCCCCACGTCTGCAGATGCAAGCTCTGCAGCTTCAGGCAAACCTTGCAAAAGGTGCTGTGATTAGTTCGGGTTTGTTTGGAAGCTGGCCAGCTGCAAGTCGTTCTGTCGTACTGCGGCACTGGCTCTGCCAAACGAGCCCTCTACGCTTGACGCTGCAAAAGCAGCTTCATGTTGTGCCATTGCCGTGTCATTCGGCCGAGGCTAGAAATGTATCCTTCCAGAAGCAGCGTGCCTTGAGGACCGCACGGGATGTGCTCGCAAGTCTTGGCTGCATGCCTCCAGAGCTATTTGAGTGGACATTGGATTCAACGCAGCCTGTAGCAGTAATGGTGCAAGCCAGCGCTGCAGAATGCAGCATACAGTAGCGGTCTGCGGGAGTACTATGAAAAAATGGATGCCGTTCTGGCCTTGTGAGGAAGGGCTGGAACGATTTGGACACCTATCAGGCGCATTAAATCACTCCGTGTATGCGTCATGGTTAACCATGGTGCCTATCAACATTCTTCGTGCTCCAAACCAGGATGGCTGAGCTTTGTTGCCAGGTGTTTGTGCTCAAAGCTAGTGTCACGGTGCATTCTCGAGGTATGCGGGGTATGCACCTCCAAGTTAAGGTTGTGTAAATGGTTGATAATGGTTGCTGGCCACTGATGGATGTCCAGCCGCCTGCTCGGATATCTGTGTGTAGGTCCATGCGCAATGCGCGGTGTCAGGTGCGCACGTTGGAACTCAGCCCCGGGGAGCGGGGATGCGCCTCTTCACACGTGCGAGCGTGGCAGGCTTGTCTAGAGCTACTTGGATTTGCACGGAAAGACTTTGCTACAGCATGGAGACGCGATGTAGCTGCTCTAAGGCGCGCCGAAGGCACCGATCGACCACTTCTTGTGCTGGAGGACGATGCGGCACCCACTCCGGAGCTGCTTGGGCTGCCGTAAATGCACGGGCTGCCAGATGCTGGAAGGGTGGGTTGATTTTTGTTGCTGATGGATGCATGCTGATGTCCAAGGTTCTGTGACCTCCTAGACAAGGCACTGGGTGCGCTCCCGGACTGCTTCCTGCGCTGTTGTTCCATGGAGGGGGGGTTCACCCGGACCTGCTTTGCATGTCGGAAGTGCTGTGGCCCGTGAGGAAGATGCGCATCTTCTTTACCTCGGTTACTCTCAGGACTGGATCGGGACTGGGGTTTCCATGCCCGCAGTTTCCGAGTTTTGCAGTGCTGAGGGAAGTTTCTGGTACACTTGTATCTGCAGGGTTGTACAGTGGTAGCTGGTCAGGCCGCAGACTGGCGCCGGGAGGTCTCGGCGGAGCTGGTGGAGTCGCTCTACGTGTGGACGCATCTCGGATTGAGCAATTGTTTAGTTCTCGTTGCTTAGAATGCCCTCCCAAACTCAGGACTGTTGCATACATTGCTCGGGCCTCGGCTGTTTGCTCTCCATGTGGCTGATGGCTCTTTGCATTACTCGCGGGGATTGCGGCACTATTGGAGTCTCTCAGGTTTGGCCTGCAGGTGCCAAGATTCTGCTATCAAAGCTGCCCGTGAATGAGCCCGTCGACAACTGGATGGCGGTAGCACGGCTGCAAAAAGAGTTCAATACTTTCTACAGGTCTGCAGGTGAAAGCATCATGAGTGCTGGAGCTTTGCTGTACTTTGCAAGTGGCACTCTCAATGAGCGTCTGCGCGCCAGGGCCTCTGCGCCAGCGATGACATCAAGGCGCAAAGACTTCTGAGGTCGTGGTGCTGTGCTGCCGTGCATGTTCCAGACGTTGAGGCATATTGTGTCCGCCCGAAGATCGTGCTACAAGCAGACGCTTGGAATGTGAACTCCGATGTGGCCCATTCGGACGAGCAGCTACGAAGCACAGTTGGACACTGTTCCACACAGCTTGCCGAGCCAAGCCTGACGTTTACGCGCTGCCAGGCATTACTGGGGACCAAACTCTGACATTCAGCACTCGGATGTGTCCCTTGTCATTTACAAGCCATGCCACCTGGGGTCTGGTTGGCCTTTGCAACTTCCAGCAGATTTCGGATCCCCACCTCCAGCCATAGCTTCGCCTGTTGTGTACAAGAGCTCAGAATTTTGGCCGCAAGGCTTGCCTCTTCGTGCCATGGTGTTGAGTTGAGACCTCCTGTCCTCAGGCTTTACTGGGGCCCGGGACACCCTGAAGCTGGAGGAGATCCGGCAGGTGCAGGGTGCCTACGTGCAGTGACGGGCTCGTGAGCTGTCGCGGCCAGGTGGCCTGCTCTGGGATCTCGACTCGGAGGATTCCGAGGACGAGCTGCTTGACTGATGGCTTTGCTAATGGCCTGTGACTGCTTCGGACATGTTCCCACTTCCTGTCCGAGGTGAGGCCAGCGTGGAAAAGACCTGTAAATGTCATATGTGCGGCGCCCGGTCAAATGCTTCTGGCAGTTGGTCGAGCTGCGTTTTGCTTTCGCACTATGACGTCAGCTTTGAGCTTCTCGCAGTCAGTTCCTGGACATGACGCAAGAGTTCAGTATCTGTCATGCACGATGATGTCCCCCAGCTTCCGAGGATCTGAATACGCATCCCTCGATGAGCCGCCAAAGCCAATCAAATGTTGTGTGATGCCAGGCCAACGCAAACCTAAGGACCTCAGGCCCGTACATGCTTGTCGCAGTGGATAAAGCTGGTTTCGATGCTTCGGACGTTTATGAGATTCCGCAGCACGTGCGTTCAGATTCTGGCTAATGCTGTGGTCCGCTCACTCAATCCTGCAGAGGGATGCGCAATAATTGAATTGCTGCGGATGCGGGGTGGCCGAGATACTGCAGCTGGCACTGCTAGACTGCTAGCCTATACTACCTAGCCTAGCGAAGTTGGGATTCACCAGCCAATAGCCTCTTGGATGTGAAAGCCGCCCCGGCCCGAAAATGGCCACATTGCCGCATTAATTCGAGCATAATATGTTTGAGTCTTCGCAACGGGGAGCTCCAGCATGCGCCAGCACTGCACTTGCAGTTGCACAGCGCGCTCCGATGTTACATGCAGGTGTAACCGTGTAACCCGACGTATTCTGATGACATGCCATGGTCCAGCCTTTAGTGCATGTGGGGAGCGTAGAAACAGCTTGGCGACATGGGCAGTGTGCAGGTACATTGCGTTCTGGCTAGCGCTTAGCAGCACATCAAGAAGCATACCTCGCAATCGGCTGCGGAGCTCTTTCACGAAGCGGAGTCTCCGATCAGTCTGTGGACTGACGCTTGGAGCTGGCAGCATGTGAACGTGTCCTGAGCAATGCTGTGCAACAGGGTCCATGCCACAGTCCAGCGAGAACGAAGGAGTCCTTCTGGTGCTGCCAGTAGCCAAGACATGCGTACTGTGCCGACTCGGTCTCCTTAGCTGCTCATCCAATCCTTAGCTGAAGCCTTAGCTTCTTCTAGCACAGAGCATCCACGTTGCGCGGCACCAGTGCGTTTTAGACTCGACCCTTCTCATTTTATTGTCTTACCTTGGCAAGCCAAAGTTATGCCCATTTTGCTGTCTGGACTGCGAAGGGTCGGGTGGGGCCTATCATGGAGGGAATGCGGGAGTAGTAGCCCTCATGCGCTTTTTTTGGACATTCAAGGGCTTGCCGCAGCATGCAGTTTGACCTACCTACTTAACCTCCTTAGTATGTCTTGACATATTTCGAAGGCAGGACCTGGAGCATGCAAGTGGTGGGGAAGCCACACACCAAGGCGAATGCTCCAGTCTCGCGGGAGTTTGTGCGGATGTTGTAAGGATACTTTACATGGTCTCCCAAAGCTCTTTGCTTTGCGATCCTGGAAGGACTCGGAAGTTTTAAGAAGTCAGATTGCTGCAGCCCAACACGGAGCCAAGCGTTCGAGCTTTTTCATGTTGCGATCGACCTAGCTTGCTGCCATCGATCAGGCAGGTGCTAGGATTGAGCAGGGTTTGGCTCCTGTATGTTTGTAGTGGGGGGCAATCATACGTCCTCATAGGAAGCTGCCTGCGACGTGTGGGCCGTTGTTTCGACCCTAGAGCTGCGCCTTCAACTGAAGCGCATCTGTAGTCTATTCTGCAGGTAGAAATTGGGTCCCTGTGATGTGGCTCGATGCACACCTGCTGACGCAAAAAACGGTGCACCACCTTGGCCAGCCCGGTCTCCAGAACTCTGCTGACGGCTTCTGCGTGCGTATGCTTATGCTGCATGTCGTTCGCCAACATTAGCCACTGGCTTCAGAATTTTCAGATGTTGACCCGTCGCAGCAATTCTCAACACCCTTCAAGCATTTAATCACGTCTTTCTTTATGCGCGAAATGCCTATGCATGAACCAATTGTAGGGTGTTACATCGGGGATTGCCAGGAAGGAAATCCGGCGTGAAAGCTTTTCGATTTTCTGCCGTGGTGGAGAGCCTAGATGCATGGCTGGATTTGTCTCAAGGGTGCAGGGGTAACATCGCGGCACTCCTCTCGAAGATTTCTTGGTCACTGAAGCCCGCTTGTCACTGGAACCGAGGAGGCCATGGCCATGGCCTTCATCCCCGCGGCACCTTGGGAGAGATCTCTCCGCCCTCTTACCCTCACAGCCCCATTTCTGCGGCCAGCGCGGCCACGACGGCTTGAAACGCGAGGCGCCGAAAGCAGTTGTAGCAGCTCCAGAAAGCTCTAGCATCCTGCAGCCCTGCTGCGTCCTCTTTGCTGTGCTCTGCGAGGCAGCATGAACTCGAGCTTCGTCCGCATTGCTGCTGCCGTTTGCGGCACCCCAGCCGCACCCATAGGCCACAGTAAGACCATGGGGCCCTCCGCCCTGATATTCGACCGAAGCTCAGGCTTCGTCTCTGCAAGATCCTTCGCAACGGTTGAGAAGGAACCAGGCCGCAAAGTGATCGCGACTCCGAGCTTCTTTTCAAGTTCGCTTGCTTCTTGCGTGTCCCTGGCTAGATACCTTGGGCTCGGAGCGGTTACGCCGAACTGCCCAGAGGGCCGATGGCCGCGTGCTGGAAATCTCGGTGCCTTGCTCCAACTTGGTGCGACTGGTAAAAACTTGGCTGATACGCTATCAGCTTTTTGAACATATCGACTTGCGGGCTGCATTGTTGAGTCAATGACAAGTGGGTGTTAAAAGGCGTTTGCAAAAGGCTTATCTAGGTCTTACTGTAGAGTCTGCCGCCTGTAGGATCATGCGAAGATGCAGGCATACTTGCAAACACTGCTAGCGCAGCTTTGCTCTGCAGCAACCCTTTACACGAAGAGTGCAGCAATCTGGGGTTGCCGGCTTTCATACTCATGGTCTAGGGGCTCAGTGCCAAGTTTGGGTTCACCCGCGAATCAGAGAATCAGAGTTATGGTTTCGAGAAGGATTTCCGGGGGCCTGTGCGAGATGCAATACAGGCATCGGCATAGTCGGCGTAGTTGAGCCGATTTGGCAATCATCCGAGATCTTCCCATGCCGGTGTATTGGTGGAATTCCGACATTGTCGTGCGGAGCAAAGCAAGATCGCACAAAACTAGAGATGCACGTCGCGGTATGGCAAGCAAGCTGTAGAATCTGTAGAAACCAGCAACGCGACATGCAACCAGAGAGGTCCCGGGACCCGAAGCCAGAAGCTTTCGGGCATCGTGTACAAGAGAAACCTGTCATTTGATCGTGCTCGAGCTAGCTGAGGCAGAAAAGTACAAGTCAGTGTCTCTCGGCCGCCGTGGCAAAGTGAGCACTTAGAGTTAGAGCGGATCTTAGCAACGAGGCGCGCAGAGTTGCTGAGGCCTGTGGAAAATGCGACGGTAGCTGGCATGAATGATCTGACTCTTGGCTGCAAGTGGCTGTACTACTGGTTCCGTACCTCAGATACCCTGAACTTCCATGCAGCATCCATGGGCTCTGAGCAGCCCAGAAAGCTCCAGATTTGCAAATCGATTCGCATCTATAGGTCTGAAGTGCCAGGCTGCTCTACCAGCTGAATAGGCAGATGGACCCTTCTTTGCAGAGAGCAGGATGAAGCGGGAGGCCGTGAACATCCTGGCTGCCGGTGCCGAGAAGACTGAGGAAGTCAAAGGCCAGAAAGGCGGCCCCGCCCTGACCAAAAATGAGTTTTACTGGGCAGGCTTCAATGTCCAACTTACTTGCCTGTATGCGGTACTGCACTTGACAGCGTCTGAGGAGAGTGAATCCTGCTCCCCTAGTCGCCAAAGCGTGCAAGTTTCTGGGTTGGTCATCGTGACTCTGTCTGATCTCACACCTACCCCGAAATTCTCACCATCCAGAATAAGCAAAAAAGTCTACGCGCTCTCAAGGAGTGCCCCCTAGTTGCAGATCTTGTGCCCTGCAGGAATGTGGCACGCCTACATGAAGCCCACCACCATGGGCACGTGGAAGAACCAAGCCAGCTCCTTGGGCGGCACATCGCCGTGAGCACGTGGGCCTGCAAGGGTTTCCAAGCAAACCTGATACCAAGCATGCATAAATGACGTGCACCCAATTCTCCAATGTATCGCCGTGGCTCTGAAGTTCCGTTCATGAGTTGTGAGCCAACGAGAGGAGGTAAGGCAAGCTTTGAACAAAGAGGGCGGTGGCCAATTAGCTGGTGCCGACGACATGTTGCAAAAGGCATGACTGTCGGAGAGTTCCTGCAGCCGAGGCCGAGGCAGCGTCACTTGTTCCCCTGTCCTTTCTCAGGACTGACCTGCAAGTTGATGCTGAAGCCCGGGGTGCGGGGCCCAGAAACTGTACGGTGCAGGCGCTGAGAGCTAGATCTAGATCCGCCAGATGCCAGAAGAGTCGGCAGCCTCGCCAGAGAAACTGATCGAGCGCCCATTGTCTGCTCGGAAGAAAGTTCAGTCAAGTCCTACTGAGCCAGATTCAAGCTTGTTGCATGCTACTGGCTGTATGAAAGTAAGCTGAGTGATGTTCCGTGGTGTCCGGTGCCTTTGCTAGAAGATCAAGATTTCGATGCTTTGGCGTCCAGGCCGTCAATGTCGAGGTGGTGAGCCTTGAAGTGGGTAACTGGGACAAAGACCTGCGAGAGTTCAAGTTCGAAAAGTTCGATGACCCTTGTCTTCCCAAGCTGAAGACGTCCTGCCAAACTGGGCCAAACTTTCATGCGAAGAAAACGTCACTCTCTGGAGGCCCCATCTTTTGGCAACAACATTGACTTTGGGTGTTTTTTGGAGTTGAAGCCTCTATTCAAAACTAGCGCAACAAATAGGGTGTAAGTACGCCACATGATGTGCACCTAAGGAAGACACCTTCAGCTTGAATTGGCAGAACAGCATGACCTGGAGAGAAAGAGGTTCAGATCTCGCAGTGCAGTCCCGTGACTGCAGTTGCATTCATGCTGGAGGAACGCTTTTCGATCCTTACGACAGTTCTAAGCAGGCATCTTTCGCGTGGCTCCATGCGATTGGTCATTCCATGGTGGTTTCCCCTTCCGGACACAGTGGTCAAAGCCACATTCCAGGCCGGGATCCGATACATGCCTCTCGAATGCAAGGGGTGGAAGTGCGCGCCGTTTGAATTGAGCAATTTCTAGCAGGACCTCGACAAGCGCAGACCTTTGTAGACTGTTGTGCCGCAAGCACGCAACACCATTCGTCCAAGGATTTCGGACGGCCAGTCCAAGATAGCAGCTGCTGTGAGCCGAAAATATGCCGACTTAGAGCGTTGAGCCTGGTGAGGGCGAAAACCCCAAGCTTAAAGCCAAGCAGCCGGTTCTCTCTCTCCCAGTGTTGGCACGTCCTCCTTGACGGGGGGCAAACTTGTCACATGCGCAGAATCCCAAACATTGCCTTAAGCAAATTCTGTCGGCCGCCGCATGCTGGCAAGAATAGTGAGAATGGTCGCACGAAGGGCCCAAGCGGAAATGCGCAGACATCCCTGGTGTAAATTCCAGTTCTGGTCGCTTGTTGCGAAAACCACACGAGCAGTCCAGAGCCGCTGTGTCGAGCGGCGACTGTGCATGGCAACTGAAAGGTGTCACAAGCCGGACTCAGCTTAAGCCCAGCCTCACAGAATTGCCGATATCGGCAGAATCAAAAAAAGCCGAGGGAACCCATCTGCTTTCGTGTCTCCTTCAAGCAGAAGCAGGCGGCCATGACAAGCACTGCACACGAGCACAGGTACAAGGACTGGCTGTGCGGGCCAAGTCCAATGTTCTCGTCCAGGACTGCTCCTTTGTGTTGCTGATAGACTCCGACACTGCGACAGAAAACATCAGTGCAAGGCATGCTTGAGTGATCTTCATTTCTAAGTCTGTGGTGACAAGCCAGGCTCAAGCAGAGTAGTTAAGACATCGCCGGATTTGCCAGTCGCACATCTTTACCTTAGGGCCTTAGGAGATGATGTACAGCCGTCAATGTGGCGCGTGTTGCCAGTCGAGCACAGATACAGGGACGAGCGCCACATCGGTCTATTTCCAGCTTTGCTCGTCATGGCCCCAAAGACGGGCAAGGCAGCGACGAAGACGAAGGAAGGCAAAGCAGCTGGGCTGAAGCAGCCACTAGGCAAGCCTCACTAAATCGGTAGATGTGTCATGGCCAGGACTGACACGCAAGCCATGTAAGCATCCGCTGAAGGATCTGCTTTGGGTGCGGGAGCAGCTGGAGAAAATCTCGGCTCAGCTCTCTGCCGGCCCTCCGTGGCTTTCAGAGCCACACTCTTGGCACCAGGAAGTCTGGCTGTCTGGCTTTTCTTTCTTTAGAAATGATCGACCGAATCGCTTCCAGGAGCAGCTGCGAGAGCTTCAAGCTCGCCTGGAGGAAGGCGGGCTTCAGAGCCTTTCCAGCGAGCTGCGGGAAGGCGTCGAGTTCTACCTCTCTCAGCCTCTCGGCCCTCCCCTTTTGCTGCAAGATGCTGTTACTGTAGTGTTTTGGCCTTCGCACGTCGCAAGATCGCAACGCTTCCATCGAGGTTCGAGGACGGACAGTCGGTCTCAGAGGAGGAGTTCTACCTAGCAACTTCGTTGCGATTCATGCTGACAGCATCTGACAACCCCAATGGCCCAATAGCTTGGAATCCCGTAGCTTGGAAGAGAAAGCAAGGACCAGGAGCTCTATTGTGAGCTGCAGCCGAAAGCGCCAGAGCCCGAGCAGCCCTACAGCAGGGCATCGGCATCAGAGGCAAGGGCAGATGAGGATGAGGTGGGCGAAGAGCAGCCGTCTTGGGCCCTGGCAGGCAGAGCTGAAGCTTTGCGAAGAGCTGAAAAGTTGGGTGGACACCACTCCCCATGGTCTGAGCAAGGCCAGCGGCTAGCGGTTGCAGAGCGCCACTGTTGCAGAAGACCCTCTTGCCACTCTGACAGCTCCAGAAGCTACTGGAGAAGCACAGCCACTGTGCAGAAGTCCAGGCCAGCGGTGCTTGTAGAGGTCGTGCTCCGATGTGTTCACTGCGAGGGTTGTTTGTCCTCAACAAGCTTGTTAGCTGATGTAGACGTGCCAGGAAGTCGGTCTGACTCGCTTGGGTGGACTGCTGGCTGAGGCAACGGACATCTTTTTCGAGCGGTATCTTCGCTGGACTAGAGAGTTTAATATCTACTCGTAGCTTCTTCTAGGTGCCTTGCCAGGGTAGAGCTTTCCCGTCTCGACATGTTCAAAAGTTACGAAAAGCAAAACATTACTGCGGACCACCCATCCCTGAACGCTGCTGAGAAGTCGCAATAACACCAAGATCGGAAGCAGCAAAAGTTTCGGGTAATTGACACCCCATTCGCCGTGATGCAAGAGCCCGCAGAAGCGTCCGTTGTCACACAGTTTCCATGCTCCAGATGAGGGGGTGGACATGGGCGAGGGCACGCGCATACCATTTGAGGGGGGGCACTGACACGGCGATGCTGCACCACACACATGCGCGCGCACACACACACACATATACAAACAAATGTACATATATATATATATATATTATATATCTCTCTCTCTCTCTCTCTCTCTCGCTCTCTGCCTATAGATATATAGTTGTCTCTACGTGTTTTCTGTCTCTCTCTCTCTCTCTACACACACACACACACGTGTGCGTGTGCACATATGTTTATGCATATGTGTATATATATATATACAGACATACATACACACGTATGTGTATATAAGAACGTTTATGCATTTATGTTTATGCTGCTTCTACATGAATATACTTGTTCAGACATGTTTGTTTTTACAGGGGCATTTATATTGACGTATGTTTACATGTTGTCTACACTGATAAAATGTCGTTATCGGCTTCGCCGTAAGTACGTATACTGATATATATATATATATGTATATATATATATAAATACATGTACTTATATGTGTCGTTGGACCAGTATCGCTACAGACCTTGCCAGGCTTGTCCGAGTGTGAATGCAAAAGTTATACATATACGTATGTATGTATATATGAGTTCGTATATGCTCCATATACGTCTACATATACATACATACAGATACATATAAATTCGCCCGTACGCATCTGTTTGGCATATTCTTATACATGTTTCTATTCAAGTTTATACATGTTTGCGTAGGCTGATACGCACTTATGGTTGTTTAGATGTATGTTTATATTTGTGTATATTATATGTATATAATATGTTGCTATATGATTATAAGCGTTTATGTATGTCTGTACATTTATATATGTTTATACACGCTTAGATTTGCTTTATAAGTTTATATACGTTCATCTGTTTGTATGCCTGCCTATATGCTTAGATACGTTTATATGTGGTTGCTTACGCATTTATGGGCGTCTGATGGCTTGTGCTAGTATGTGTTGGAGATGCTTTTCTATTTGCTTATATCTGTATGTTTTTCAGATTTATTTGTTCATGTTTGTTTATGTGTATATATATATATATGTGTGTTGATATATGTTTGTACCTGCTTTGTGTGCCATATATATGTTTAGGCCTATATACACACAACACTACATTAACAGTATGTGTGTGTATACACGTTCATATACATTCATACGTGTCTGTACATGTTTCACATGCTTTAACTTGGCTGCTTGTATATGTGTACGTAGACCTCGTCGAGACCGAGTGCTAAAAACATATGTAAACACGCCAACCAGCAAGAGTCTGACAGGCAGCTTGGTGTCATGCCTGCTGGTAGCTGCTTGTGCGAAGGTTCATATGCTGCTATGCTGGTAGTACGTCGAGTAAAACATTCTAGATTCCTGGACTAAGGTGGCATTAATATAAGAGCTAGTCGTCGTAATCGTTGTGGTCGAAGAAGAAGTCCAGAAAAGGAGGAGTAGGAGTAGGAATAGTGGTAGTAGTAGTAGTGGTGGTAATAGTAGTAGTAGTAGCAGTAGTGGTAGTAGTAGTGGTGTTTTTCCTGTTTGGGTGAGGGGGGGTTGGGTGGGGGGGATAAGAACGTCATATTCATACTGCACCCATGCCCAAAACACTGGTATGTACAGCGCTATTATTGCCTTTTTGTACAACATACTCTGCAAGGATGTGGAACAATACACGTTGTCACAAGCGCATAAAGCCTTGGCCGGCCTCCGTCTGCGCGAAAACGCTGCTGCCGCCAAGGTTTAGCACCGTAAACCTCTAAAGAATGGGATGTTTCAAGGATTTGTGCCATCTGCTGCATGCGTCTTCCTTTGAATTGTGCGTTGTCCCAGAGACCTTCAACAACAAGGTAAAGGCAAAAACGCAACGCACAGTACAGGCGCCGTTCGGTAGCAGTATGTAGCAGTAGTAGTATAGCAAGTAGTCGTCGTCGTGGTGGTGGTGGTGGTGGTAGCAGTAGGGTAGAGACCGCAAGGGCCCGCAAGCGCGTGTCAGGTGAAGGCAGGGGGCAGCGCAGTGCCCTCCGGTTCTGGATTCAGCCCTGGATCGGTGTGCCCGGTCGTGTTGGAGGCTGGTCAGCCTGTCCGACAACTTCTGCAAGCGGGTGTGTGGCTTTTCGATTGCTGTGGGGTTGCATCTGGCAAGGCCATGACCCGCTTTCCTCGCGATGCCGGCGTCCAACGAGTCGCGTGCAGTGTGCTGAGAGGCCACGGCCTGAGCAGACGAGCGAGCTGATTGCGACTTGGGCATCCGTGGCAGGCATCGTCGTGACTGACGGTGGCTGCACAGTAGTGGCGGATGCTGGCGGAGCTGCGCGTGCAGTAGATGCCATGAAAGCCCACTTGGTCGACCCGGAGGTGTGCCGCATGGGAGCAGCAGTTCTCTACGCCGCTGGGCTGATGGGAAACAGCTTCCTTGAACTTGGCCAGTGCTGCCTCGGAAACGTTGCTGTTCCTGACCTTTCACCCGCGAGGCAATGGTCCAGAAAACGGATCCGGCTTCCCCCGAAAGGCTGATGATGCGCACCACAAAGGCCCACCAGGTACTTGCCGAGGCGCTCCAGCTGACGACTGCGACGGAACCGTGCTTTGATTTGCGGCGCCACTGAGTTGCTAAGCCTATAAAACACCGTATGTAAACTCGAAGTTCGCCGTGGTATGACTAACCTGAGCGTGTTTCGACGGGTTTCCTTCGCGCAGAAGAGTCATGACAACTCTTCTCGGTCCTTCCAGGTATCCGCGCAATGCAGCTAACTCAGCTAACCAATCATGTCGCACAGGCTCTGCAGTACCACCCGACCGACCGAGCGCTCGACCGAGCATGTCGCGTGACCATGCCAGAATTGAAAGGCTGATGCGAAGAAAAGAACAGCGACATGGTTCGATGCATGCCTTCCAGAGTTTTGCTTCGGCGCAGACGGCTGAATATCCGTCCGAGGTCTGTTCCAACCAGTTGCTTCCTTAGCAGTCAGCTTGCCGTCAGGAGCATTTCAAAGTCGATGCCAATGGACAGTCCTCGCGCAGGCCGACTGCAGCCGCTCTGCTGAAGTTATTCTTTTGTTCGGTGAATGCTTGCCTGCCTACCTATGACAGGTGTTACTAGCACAGTCTTGCAGCTGGGATGACCGGTCATGATGTTGCTGGCAATTCCTTAGCTCTTCTTGCTCTGTGGCAGCTCAGCTGAGATCACCTGCTACTTCGGAAGCCGTCAGCTTAGCAGTACCTGTCTTGCTTCTCGATGGGTGCCAATGCTTCCCTAGAAAGCGGTTCGTGGAATTCGTCCAGGTTGGGCCCTGGCAGACGGACCCCGGACCTTCGTGACTGAGGTTGTTTCCTCGGAATTGTCTGATCATGACGCTTCTGCAAACCTCCCGGCGTGTGGTGAATTTAGGGTGTTTGATTTCATTTCGTCGAAGATGGCCTGTGTGCTGCAATGAGGAGAAGGGAGTCAAGAAGCGGCGGGCTTGCGACACGAACACTGAGCAGCCGTGGAAGCAAATCAGATCAAAAGGCTCTGCGGTAGCCCTGCTGGCTGCTGTCATGTCGGATGCAGATTTGCAATCGGTTGGCTTTGAGGTGTGCGTGGCAGTTGGGGCTTAGGCAACATGCATCAACACGTCCATGAAAGTTCCCCGTTATGGAGATGTGGACTTTGGCTCAGGGAACAGGTAGTGCTTTTCAATGACTCTGTGAACTCTGCCGACCCTTGGAGGAACGTTGCAGGTGCTTGGGCTTTTGTGGCTTATCCTCGGGTGATTAATGACTCTGCGTTTGAGTAAGTGTGGGGTTTGCGACTCTTGGCCTTCCAGGTTGCAAGAAGAATGGCAGCGAAGCTGCCATTGTTGCTGTTGCTCAGTTCGCCGATGCAAGGCCCGACTAGTTCACAAGATTTCCTGAGCGTTGCTTGAGCGGATCATGGGAGAGCCCGGGCCGTGTCGATATGCTGGCGCGAGGTGCCGCCCATGCGCCCAGCTGTGCGATCGACGGTGAGCACTACATGGTTTCACGGCTTGTTGAGTGTGAGCGCATTGTGTCCCAAATCATCCTACGTGTTGTGATGCAGCTGCCCATGTCATGCTTCACTTGCATGACGTCGCGTTTGCCAAGGACGAGAAGGTATGGAGTCCGAATGGTGGTCTGCAGGAAGATGCCTCAGGCACATCGGAGCACATTGAACGAAGTGGTTTACCGCTGACTCCGCACATCGAAGTGAAGCCAACTGCCAATCGCGGCATGTGGTAGACGGTACTCGCATCGAATGCTGCTTCAGGCTGCCAAAGAGCACCCCGTTTGCAAGTTCGAATCGGAGCAACGCTGAAGAGGTAGTGACCGAATGCTCCTCAAACCTTGGAGTCCTGCAGTGTTACTTTACGTGCATTTTTTTGAAGCACACGGGACTATTCTCGTTTTCCAAGGCCTGCCTCGCCGACGTCGGATGCAGCTTGTCCGAGTGCAGAGTGCGGCTGAGTGTAGTTGTGACGAGCCTCAAGCCGACATGCGTCTATTCATGTCTATTCTCGTCTATTCATGTCTGTTCTTTAGTTTTCTTTGCCGCTTTTGTACTGTGGCCCGGCCGGCACGCACGCATGCTTGCAGAGGTTCCTACTGGACCTTCTACAGCAAGACCTTCACGTCGCTTGGCTCACTGCTTGGGGATGTGGCGTCCGTGTCATGTTCTACCGTGCCAGAGTATGTCGCACACAAAGTGGTGGCCGGTAATTGCGAATCTTGCGACAGTTTCATGAATCACCATGGATGATGAGAGGCTACAGTAAGGCTGAAGAGCTCAGGTGCTGGCTGATGGGGCCTCATGCCACATTGGGAACAATTCCCGACAGCACGGCGACTAGTGGCCCGAAGAGCTGCGAACCGGTGCAATTAGAGACTGAGCCATCGCAGCTCAGCCCGCCCAACAAAAAACTCGCCGTTGGAGGTCGTTGAATTTGTGAGAAACCAGCTGCAGGCAACGCGAAAGAGGTGCCACAATTACAGCGCTCTGCCGCACCCGCGACGATCATCACTGGAGGCTATGGCTTTCCAAAGGAAAATGTTGCGGCTGTAAGTTATGTGTATTTGCAAGAACGGGTTGCTGATAGAAGACGATCGAATGCAAGTCTTAATTGCAGTTTCTTGCGAGGTTCAAATGCGACGCTGCAAGATGCTCTGCGAGAGATTCAACACAGTTTCTGGGACAGGAGTATGTCCTAATTAGGGACGACCGGCTTGCAGCTGGGTCTGAGTTGAAGGTGGGACACTGGCAATGCAGCGTCTGGATGACCAAGTATCTTGGAGCTGAGTTCGAGACAGGTTTCTGATGGCCGCCGTAGCGGCATTGCTTTGGCTTCGAAGATCCGAGGTAGCGCCGATGGCACCTCTGCGAAGCGCTCTGGAGCGGCTCCAACTGATGACGCGGAGCCCTCAGCAAAGAGCACGGCAGGGAGAGCCAGAGCCCGATGGACTTGACCTTGCAGGCCTGAATCCACAAGAAGCTTCGAAGGCCACATCGACGCATGTCGAAGCAGACGACAAGCACAGTCGTTTTCACCATGTCTTTCAGCATAGCACTTATGCAATCCCCTGTAGCCCTACGTGCTTGAGGCGCTTCACAGGTTACAGTTTCTCGGAAAGTGCGTTAGCTACTCTTGCTTCTGCCTTCTGAGTTCGCATGAGAGCACACGGTCAGTGATTCAAGCGTTGGTTCGAGTCGTCGATGAAGTCTGCGCGTTGTTAGCCTTCAACTCTCGCACGCCGTGCGCGTTGCCCGGTTAATTTTGAAACACCGCTTTCAAGTGGTGGTTCTCGACTTTGTCTGGAGGCACATACTTGAGACTTCGAGCCAGGGCTGCTCTGAGGTGTCATGAAGAAGGGTTCGGCGTCAAGTTGCTCGTCATCTGATCCCTTGCTGTATAAGGGCGAGACGGCAAGACATCCCCTGTGCCTGATGTCCCCTTGCAAACGCAGGCTTGCCTTGGTTCATTGCAGTTGCGGCGCTCCTCAGCGCGGCGGCCATTGGCACCGCTGTGTTGTGGTTCTACAGGCGGCATTGGACATCACTTGTCTCCTGCTGGCCTTGTGAGTTGCAGGAATCAAGGCGAAGGATCCGATCAGCTCGTCGAGGAAAGCTGGGATGAGGAGCACACTGCACCGGCTTGTTGCTAAAGCTGCCATTTTTGTGACGGGCCAGCCCTAAAGCAGGAGTCGCTTGTGGAACTCCCACGACTTCAGCCACCAGGTCACCCGAATGAGCGCACCCTCCTTTTTCAAGAACCCGCCATGAGATGCCACTGCATGAGCCAATGTGCTGATACGGTACTACACAGTGTACATGAGTACAAGCCAGGTTTAGCATGTCGGAGGTGGTTGCACGATTCAGTGCTCGCCCTCAGGGACATCTGCCCCGAGACCCAGCGGACCTCGTGTGCATGCCCTGGATTACGTAATGCGTGCTGGGCATGGGCAGCCGATTCTGAGCCTCGGCACATCTTTGTGTTTTTTGTGGGTTCCGGGATATGCGGCCAAGTAGAGAGCTGTGTTGTACGGGTGGGTGCTTCAGAAGTGCATCGCCATCTGTCCTGTTGTGACCAGGATGGCAGCGTCTTCTGGCCTCACCCAGGTCAACGCAAACTTCGTATGAGCTTCAGACCCCCTGAGACAGTGTCTATAGCATTCCGGTGCACGGATGTGTTAACAAGTGTGTTGTTTCTCCATGTATCTTTCGTTGGCTTCATGTCACTGATTGCAGTGTTTAGGCATTTGGGTTCAAGCGCTGCTTGGTGCACTGATCTGTCTAGGACGGACATGGATCGGGCCAATGTTGCCCACGATCTGCAAATTGCGCCGAAGTGCGTCTGTCTTGAACACTCTTTTGCCGCAACTGCTGGGCTTCGGATACTTGCTTAGCAGCTCAGCAATCTGGGACGTTCCATTTTCGACTGAGAATCGACATCAAGCGCCTTCACAGCCATTGGATGGCAACTGTGCCATGAAAGGCTCAGGAGCAGTTGAAAGCCGGATGACATTTGCATGGCCGCCAGAATCCCGGAGTCTCATTGCATGTCCCGGTGCAGAGCTGCAGCAGAAGATAGTCGGGCAAATCTGTCGAATGAGGCTGAGGTAGCATAGATGACAACAGAGAGGAAGTGCAAGCGCTGACGCCATGGCAATGTTCTGTTTGAGCATGCTGTGAGTCATGTTGTTAAGGCCGGGCTGTGTCGCTGACAACACGCCTAGGCGCCTTGCTGCCTTCGTTTTGTCTTCGCGAGGCTAGCCGGTGTGGCTTATCTCGCAGCAATCGTCCTATGCTCGGCTTTTCGCTGGTGACCCCGTTGCAAAAGTCATCGGACTAGGCTTTGCCCCTAGATTCTGCTAGATTTCTAGGTGGAGATGCGGATGCAAAAAAGAAGATGTGTTCCATTTGAGTCGAGCCTTCCGGCGCCCACTAGGTTGCCCAACCCAATGAGCAGGGATTGCCGACTATCAGGCTGAAACGCAAGAAGAGCCGCATAGAGGCGGGATCCGTCTCGCACAGTCCCTGGCTGCTTTTACGACAAGTGCTCCTGCATATGGAACCAATCGCCATGGTAGTTCTGAGGCCCGTCTGTAAGTAGACTGGTTCGCTTTCTGACGCTTCCGACCCTGAGTACCGCGCGGTGCTGCTGCGGATCTCCTGCGCGCGATGGCCGCGTCGGAAAGGGCACAGGCGAGCCGAGCGATTCCCAGAGAGGAGCCTTTGGCATGGTGTGGCACTGCCCAGCCCTGCCTCGAGGCTGAGCTTGTGGAATGTCGCAAGTCGCTCCAGGCCAGGAAAACGGGCAGCTTGCGTTCGGTAGAACTCGACTCTTCGAGGTATGTGAGAGCGCCTCCCCTTCATCTGAAGGCCCCTGCTTGGACTCTGGGTTGCTGGGATATGCTCAGCTGCTGGCAGATAGGCATCAGGTTTGGCAGCAGGCAGCGGGCCCGTTCACTCCATTTTCTCACCAGAACCCTTGGCGTCGCGGCTCGTGGTGGCCACGGCAGGAGCCATCAGCAGATCCCAGCCCATCAGGCCGACTTCAGTTTAGCCATGTGCAGCAGTTGTGTTGTGCTGACTGACAAGCACCTGCGAAGTGCCAATCGAGATGTGTTCCTCCCCGGCACAGGTCCTCGCAGCTTCAGCCAGGTTCGCCCGAAGCTCCAGATTGGCCAGAGGAGTGGCTGCTTCAAGCCTGATGTTCTGCGTGCAAAAAAAGACTGAATAGACATGGATCTTTCCGAGTTAAGTGCTTCCGCAGCCCTGCCACACTTTTGAAGTGTTCAGGGCTACGGCACCTTGTTGCGCTTCCCATTTGGCATTGCCGACATGAAGACGCTGAAGGCCCAAGTCTCAGCGCCAGTGATTCGCCTGTGATGTTTTTATCGTGAGGAGGGCCCAGTGTGAGTTGGATGTGAATTCCAGGAAGTGGCCCGAGAGCTCTGGACGTCGGAAGGAACTGCAGCTGACATCGAGGACGAGGCGAAGGGACAGGGACAGCCGCACCCACTCTAGGCACGAGGCATCACAATTGATGCACATGCAGTTTACCGTAAAGGTAAAGGCCGTCCCTGTAGAAGGTCTCACAGCTGGGTTTTCGCCAGCACAGAGGGATGAGGCTGTAAGCTGAGCATGCCGATGGCCGATGGGGCCTTGCAGAGCGGTTGCCCGAATGCACAAAGGAGTTGACCTTGAGGTGTGCATCTGAGATGGTCGGTGTTCACCCCGTCGGCGGAGCAAGTGTTCGCTGGTCCGCTTCGGCCCCGGAGCAGCACATGTTGTGCGATTTGCTGAGTTGAGCAATATTTAGAGACCATGATGACGTGGCCTGGAAGGCAGCACTGTGGGAATCGGCTCAGCAGTGGTGCTCCGAGAACAAAGAATGCAGCCCGGCCTGATCTGCGCGAACCGCGAGGGTTTCCAAAAATCTTGCGGTGAGTGTCAAGAATTTAAAAACTGAACGTCTGGACTCGACGCTCAACCCTCGATTCCCGCAAGAGTGGTGCAAGCGTGCTGCGTCGGGGTCCTTGAAAGGTACAGGCATCATGGTCTATGTTGGCTCCAACACCATGAATTGTAATTCCTGGTGTGGTCGGGGCCTTGCCATTGGACCGTGTCCGAGTTTACTCGTGCAGATGTGTTGTCAACTCTTGGCACAGCTGTCGGTGCGTGCTGGTGGGGAGACTCGTTTGACAGCGAGAGCAGGCAGACCTCAGTTCTGCGACGGTCACATAGACGCTGCTGAATCAGCCGGTGCCAGGATCCAAGATTTATGAAGCATTTGCCCTCTCACTTGCTGAGCTAAGTCCAGAACCCGTTCAGCCTTCAGCCGTCGGCATGCAAGTCTGCACCACAGGTAGAGGAGAGCAGCGAATGGAATCTGTGGGTGCGCCCATCCAGTCATGCTGCCGGAAACTATAGCAACGCTCATGTACTTGTAGTTAGTTGAGTTGAAGCAGGACACATCCGCAGCGAAAACGAAGAGCCTGCCTGCAGCAGGTCAAAGATGCTGCTGAGTCCGGCACTGCCGCATGACGGCCTCAGTGAGCTCCTCCTTGAGCTCCCGCATCCCAACCGCCAGACGGAGTGGCAAAGAAGTGGAAAAAGTGGCACGAGGGGTCTCACGGGCCAGTACAACCGTAGGGGCATGGTAATCGCACTTTACTCACCTGCAAGTTGCAGCATGCCAGGCATGAAGAAACTCCAGACTCCTGATGTCGCCCGCAGATCTCAGCAGCCGGCAAGTTGTAGTGAGGAGATGTGCGTGCCATGACAGCAGTTATTCGGCACACCTGGCTTGCTTCGGTGTGCGTCCATACACAAACATATGAACATACGCGACAAAAATCCAAAGAAACCGTCAAAAAGCGCCCTAAAGAATCGCAGCGGAGATGCTTTCGACAAGTCCATAAAGAAGTGCGTGCTTCACTGGCCAGGCCTAGCGGGCAGACCGAGCTGAGCAACGAAGGCAGGAGGGGAGACCCAGGATCCAAGCTCTCTCTTTTGAAGCGCCTCTGGCAAGAAGATAAAAAGAACATCTAAGAACATCCCTGTGTTCTTTTCTGCTTCCGCGCAGGGCGGGCCCGAGCAGCGACCATCGCTGAGCTCCAGCTACGATACGACACACGCCTGCAACGACACACCTCCCCATGTTCGTTCATAAGCATATACCAGCTTTCCTCCCCGGTCTCATATGGCTCGGCCAGAGTGTTGCAGCACGCTGCGGCCTGCCCGAGGAGCCCAAGATTCAAAAAGACGCGCAGCTCACAAGAAGCTTCACGAGGCAGCTCCTGGAATTGACCTCCGGCCGAGCCGAGAGACTTTTTTACTGGCGTTCGGTGCACTTGGCAGTTTAGCACAGTAGGGCAAAGTGCATGTCTCAGCTGTTTGGCTGGAGCTCTTCCCTGCCGCAGTCCCGCCGTCTGCCTGGCTGTCCTTGCCCATGAGCTTCTCCTACAGTCCTCAGTTCTTCTTGCACTTTCCAAAGTACCATGCGCCACACTTGAAGCCGGGGGAGGAGCACAAGGACCCCTTGGACGAGATCAAGCCGCGCTGTTTGTCAAGCTGCGCCGACTGGTTGCAGGAGTACAACGGCTGCGTTCAGCGAATCAGCATGCGCACCGATGGCAAAGGTGACTGCAAAGGGCAGTTTGAAGAGCTGACCATGTGCCAGGACCATTGCATCGCGCATGAGATCTTTCACCATGTAAAGTGAAGTGAGACGACATCTAGGCCCGTTACTTTGACACCTGCCCAGTGTCTTTTATCCGTCCACGGAGCAAGACGATCTATGATGCTCTACGGTTGCATGGGCTGCACGTGCAACTCGCGCGGACTGAAACAAAATGTGCCTGCCAGCAGCACCGTGGCAACATTGACGGTTACACGTACATGTGAGGTGACTTTCTCTTGCCCGCTGGCTGTGTGTGGCATCGTACGGAAGCATCACCGTGACCCTGGGTGTGAGAGTGAAAGAGAGAGCGAGAGAGTGGGCTTGGCAGGTGCGTGCAGTCTTCCGTGTCCTCGTCAAAGATCCCCACACGGCAATACCCTCAGCCAGTCCGTTCCGGTCTGCAGGAGCCATTGCATCAGATAGAGTTATGACGTGAAGAGCTGTATTAACAGGCGCGATGTAGTGCGCCTCAAGCTGAGCCGCTAACAGATCATGATTTTTTGCCGCATGGCATTGTGCACGAGACCCTAGATGGCAGGCCCCGCAAACTACGAAGCCGATAAACTTCAGATTTGTTGGTTTCCAATTTCGAAAATTTCGGGTGCAGGGGAAGGAAGTCCAACAGGGAATCACGACCCCCAATTATGCCGGAATAGGATCCCCAAACAGTGAAGGACCACACAAGAAGTGCATGCAGGAAGTGATGACTTTGAGATCACGCAGCTGATCATGCATCACTCAATTATCAGCATGACGAATCCATGTGCAGACGCGCTGTGTGTTTGAGTGCGCATCTCTGTGCGTGTCTGCGTTCCACATGTTCCCACGCAATGCAGGTGTGCATGTATGCGTGCCAGTCTTGTTCGCAACATCTCGAAAACGGCAGTTTGCAGACCTGTCGCCACGATCACAAAAGGCCGGGCTTGAATGCAATCGGGCTGCACGCTTGAGAAAACAAGTTGCAACTAGTCGCCAACCTGTGTTTTTCCCGTCATTTATACCATGCGATGGCCGCATTTTCGCCACAAAACTCACCTGGCGGGATCTACAAGGATGTCCTAAATCCGTTGCCCCAAGTACTGCGATTTCAGGTTTTCGATGCAAAAAGAGGTCAACGTAGTGAAATTTACAATGAATTCCGGCCCCGCGGTCTGCGCGACGGCCGCTTCTGTGCAAGCGAAGAGCATGCACCGTGCCACGTTTCGAGACCGCGTCCGACACACCCTGTGTTACTAAAGAATAAGACTCGTGCACCAGATTTGCACAGTATATGCTGCAGTGAAAGAAAGGGCGCAGGAGCCACTTTCCTGCGCACGCCGCACGAGGACTTCAGTCAGTTCCTTTTTTACTGAGAACGCAAGAACCCCATAGTTAGTCTTAGTGTTACCACATGCGTGCTCTCTTGGGCTTGCAATGCGGGAGCAAAAAATCGTTTTCTGCGAAGGCTGCGGCGCAAGCTGAACGACATCGGCGAGCAGCGAGTCTTGCTGGATGCTTACGCCTTTGGCCCGACAGAGGTATCAGTGCATTGCGATGGACATGTGGCCGTCAAGAGAAGCAGGGTAGAACACACAGTGAAAGCAGCCTGCTGCTGCTTGTACCCATCTGCACAGTCCACCGCTTGCACTCGTCGCTCCTCAGCGCAACCTTCTGAGCTTGTAAGGAAGGCCGGATTGACTCGGCTCTGCACGCTGCTCACACAAGGTTTGAGCAGCCAGGCCAAGCTGCACTTGCGTGTGCAACTTCGACCTGCCAATGAGTCGATGCCTTCAACATCGTAATTTCCCTCACCCGGCTCCACTAGCGACATTCTGCGCATGTGTTGCGCATTTAGCATATTCCGTAGGCAGGCAGACTAGCAGAAACAGCCGAGCAAAGGCCGGCAAACTGAGTCGGAAGCCGCTCAAACTTAACGTTCAGACAGCCGCAGACTTTGGCGATGGAGGTGCTTTCCGAACTTCCCCAGCGGTCGGGAGGAGGTCGAGGCCTTAAGCACGTCCATACAGCATAGAATGGTTGGGGGCTTGGGGACTTGAGCAGTTGGCGGATGCGATGAAAAGCCGCTCCAGTAGCTAGTGGGCAAGCAAACTGAGGTCAGCTATTTATGACGCCATCCTTCTACCAACGCCTGCTACGTGGTCAGACAGAGCTCAAAGTCTTGCTCGAAGGCCGGTTGCGAGAATGCCATAGACTGCTTCGGTGGGACCCAGCCACATGCCTTGGCCATGTTGCGGCACATCGTTGATATCAGGTGATGTGGCTGCGGCTCAATCGGACCTGCGCCATCTCCGACTTGTCCAGCGCCATGGCAGCTTAGTGATGCGAGCACATGTAAGATGAGCTGTAGATCCCAACTGCAGGTTTACGAGTTTCGGATTCTGTATGCGGGGACACATGTTTATGACGCTGCCGCGATGTGACATACAAATGTGAACTCGTTGGCTCCGGGCGTTATTTGACCGAGGCTCCTCAGCATCCGAGTTTCCACGCTTGACTGGGCCACAGAGTCGCATTCACACAGTGCAGGGAGCTCAGGAAACTTTTGGACTGATTCGCCGAGCAGCTTCCTGTTGTTTCCGACACCTGGCCGGCAGAGGCTCATACGAATTTCCTGATGTCTCTGGACATGCATCTCTTTGAGCGGTTGGCTCGCGAGTTCCTGCGTTACGTGGCATTACTTGGCGTAGGAGAACATCGGCTGCGGTCTCTGATGTGCTGAATGTGCTGAGGTACAATACCAGATGTGAAGCCAGCGACTCTGCATGCACTAGGCTGGGAGTGTAGGAGACATCTGCTCATCCGTCAACGAAGATCGGACCGCCAGGTTGCTTGTTCCTACTGTTCACCTCGTCCGTTGTGTTGAGCTCTGCAAACTATCGTTGGCATTGACAGCGTTTTGTGGCTGTCTTTGCGGGCTGGGTGTGGACGTTCATGCCTCTGCGGTGGCTGCATGTGGCTGCTAGCTCTGAAAGATAGGTGACAGAATGCAGCTTGCACCTCCCTCATATCTTGCGACGCACAATGGGCTGGTGAAGCAGCTGTCCTCGTCCTCTTCTCAGAGCGGAAATGTGAGAAGCCAGTCGAGACGCGATGTTGTGCGACCTCACGTATTCAGCCTGCTGGCTGCCGGTGCTGCAGCTCAGAGATGTAGCCGAACCGTGAGACGTGCGCTTAAAACTGAGTATGTCCGTTTTGCCCGTGAAGATCTGCTTTCACCCGAAGATGGTCCTGAGGAGCATGAACAGTTCGAGCTGGACGATGGAGAAAAGCGACGTTTGGATGTTTTGCTATCCGAAAAGTATGAGCAGTCCCGCAGCTATTTTGGGGCGCTAATCCGTCAGGGTGCTGTCCAGGTCAACGGCCGCGTCCGCAAAAAGTCCTTCCGAGAATATCACCCAGGTGATGTGGTGGATGTTCGGTTCCTCCTGGATGAAAGAACTCTTCCCATGAAGCCAGAGCCAATGGACTTAGACAAGTTGTACGAAGATGACCACATTCTCATAGTCAACAAACCAGCTGGTCTTGTTGTGCACCCAGCCCCTGGGCATTGGAATGGCACGCTGGTGAACGCAGTGCTTCACCATCTTGGGTTTCGATCCTCGCAGGACGGCTTGCCTTCAGCACCGCCTGGTCCAGCAGCCAAGTTTCGCCCGGGAATTGTGCATCGCCTGGATGTTGGAACCTCGGGGGTCATCGCGGTGGCAAAGACATCCCAGGCCTTCTCGACTCTAAGTCAGGCCTTCTCGCGCAGAGAAGTTCAAAAGACCTACCTCGTCATCTCCGTTGGAGGAAGGAAGTACTTCTTCGGCCATTCTCGTGGTGGGGGCCATTTTGTGGACATCCCCATAGGGCGCTCCAAAAAGGACCGCCGTCGCATGGCTGCAGTTGCACAAGATTGTGGAGGACGCCCTTCTGTCAGTCTTGTGCGAGGGCTCGCGAGGGACAACCGGGATCTTATACTCCTCGAGGTAAAGCCTCGCACGGGAAGGACGCACCAAATTCGCGTCCACTTGGCCGAAGAGCATTCTCCAATCCTTGGGGATGCCTCTTATGGCTGGGAGCATCTTAACCGACGATATGCGGGATTGGCGACACGACCTATGTTGCACGCCTTCCGCCTCGCTTTCGCACACCCTGTCACTGGAGCGCAGATGGAATTCGAAGCGCCACTGCAGGAAGACATGCGAAAGCTTATCGCTCGGATGGAACCTGAGCCTGAAGAGGCTGCCTACGTGCAATCGCTCTGGAAGCCAGCCAGCAGAGTTTAGGCTAGCATTCGGATCTATGCGAATCCCGCGGATAAAAGATTTCTTTGTGTCATGAAGTAGGACTCGGTGCATATAGCCGGAAAAATCGGCCACAACCCTGCGCAGATGTGCACCACCGGAGGTCGTTTCACAGCTTGCGCCTGTCCCGGTTGCCAGGCCTTCGGATTGCCTTAGTCGCCGGCGCCGAGGAGGCACAGAATCCGAGAAGCGCTGGGCGCTTCGATCGCTTCGCAGAAGTGCACGATGGCCCGACCATGGCATGAGGTGATTGCGCAGGGCTGGGGCCAGCGATCTGTCCACGGTGCCGGGGATGCCCTGCCGGCATTGCCCGAGGCCAGGGTCCGGGCCCGTTGTGGATGATGGGCTGATAGGCTTGCGTAGGCTTTCGTGGCATTGCATGGCATTGCATGGCCAGGTCTGGGCATTGGCCCTTGGTCCAGAGTGGGCTCCGGCGCGGGTGGCTTTCTTCCATTCCAGGATCCGTGTGACTTAGTCCGGTCTGGCGTGCATTGTAGTGCAGTGGTAGCGGAGCACTCAAAGCCTTGTCTGACTGCCGTGAGGGAGTTGTGGCTTCAACTTTGCGACGGCGAGCTGCGCAATGTGCAGGTGGGCAGCGAAGAATCCGCAGCTCCAGCACACGGCACAGCAATGCATTGAACGGAGCGGAGTTACCCGATTGGAAAGGATGTCGTGGCCGGCCACAAAGTCGCCGTCACCACAGACCGCTCCACTGGTGTGGGCAAGGCCGAGAGAGATGAATTGATTCATGACATGCCACTATCTACTATACTGCACCGGACTTGTGCAGATTTGTGCGCCACTTGCAGGATCGTTTCCTCCATTGGGAAATCGCCGTGCTGGATCCTTCGTTTGAGGCCAACTTCTGCAGGTTACTGTATCTTGCTTGGGGCAGCGCATGTCCGAAAGGATATCCTGGACGAGATGAAACAACAAGATCAGGCATTTGCTGAGCAGACTCTGGTCTACTCAGGGGTGAGGTCGTTGACTCTAGACCCGGGTCCGCCAGCCAGCGCGTTGCACAAATAGACTGCCGGAATGTTTTGCTGCCTGACTTCACCCGCATCCAAGGAAAAAGATCTGCTCCGAGCTGACAGCAGTGCTCAAGAAGCGGATGTCTGGCCGGGCGAAGGAATTGGGCCTGGTCGTCGAGCCGGAGGAGGTGTCGCACCTCGAAGAACGGCAGTGAACTGCTTGAGACTGAGAGTCTGGTCAGTCGCCTGACCTGCAGGCTCCGCAGCACAAGGCCGCTCGACAGCCAGTTTTGCAGGTAGCAAGCACCGGCACTTGGCAGCGATCTGCTGCTTCGTGCGGCCTAGATCTACTAGAGCCTACAGTTAGTCACAGTTAGTCACTGAGCACAGCTGCAGGGGCATCACCGGGCCCGCCACCCAGCCAAGGAGTTGCAGCAAAGCGGAGCTCCGGAACAGCCCGAACTTTCTGCAGTGCTGCCCGAGGTTGGCGACTGCTTCGACCCCCAATCTCGGTTCTAAACGTATGTTTGAGTCTTACTGTAAATTCTGCTGCTCACCCTTTCGTCGCTCTTGTGGTAGCCGGCGGGGGAAATTGGTCGCGAACTAACTTGCACTTTTTCGTTCTGGGTTTCACTGTTGACGAGACGTTTTAAAGACGAGGAGCGCAGCACAATTGGAGGCACGAGGATGCCGACTAGCAAATTGGTACTGTGCCATATGTCGGTTCCTACATCATTGGAGAAGGTTTTGAAGTCCCTTCGCTCTTTGTTTGTTTCCGTCGCCCCAGGAGACCGCAGCTCCGGAGCCGCCAGAAAGACTGGCGGAGGCCACTGCATCTCAAAGGATCTGCTTTTCGGGGCTCCCGGATCGCTGCAGGCTGAGCCTCCTGAGGAGTTCAGCACACCGGAGCGGGCCGACCGAAGCGCAGCTCACGAGGCTAGGCCCTAGCAGCGCTTCGAAACGTCCAGGTCTCCATGCAGGCTTCAGGCCATTGCTGGATTCTAGGGCATGCTAGGGCAAAGTCGCGTAGTTCAAGGCAGGGTCGCTTGACGTCTACACCCCCGAGCCCGTCACAAAGGCAGCAGTGTCAGAGGCCTGAGAGCGTGAATGCACAGTGTCTGACATCTGCACAACGAGTCTGCCAGAGAGTTCAATCGATATGGCATTTACTGCGCGCATGCCTTTTCAACCATGCCTGAAGTCCATGTGCCATGGATGACACTGCACCACACATGATGATTTCTCTTGGTTGCCTACTTGGCCAGATCTCCAGCCGGGGTTCCTCGCCGCCAAGACCCCGCAGGCCAACGAACGTGACCATTTCGCAATTGTGCCTTGCAAGCTTCAAAACTCTTGTAGTATTCGTAGCAACATCAGTTGCATCTGATGCTTTTGGTGAGGATCTCTATGTCCAAGGAGTCAACGGAGTCGAACGGCAAGGCTGCAGCCGTGTGCTACATTACAACGTCGTGCATGGTGCAGAGCCAGTCGGCCGCTTCTTGACGACAGGATCAGTGAGCATGTTCGACGGAGTCTCCTGTTGTTAGTGCCGCCAGGATGCCGCTTTTCAACACTCAGCCGCTGCTGGTAGCAAGGAAGCATCCTCCCGTCCGCCATGGCTCGTCGGCGATTGGACGGAAGAAGCTGGATTCCCCGATGTGGAGGTGCGGTGCAGATCTGGCTTGGGCATCTGCAAACATTATGTCGGCTGTCGCCATGATTGTCCGCAGGGCGTTTCACCGTAGGTTTCCGCATCTCGACAACGCAAGGCTTTGTGGTACTCTTCCTGCTTGCAGCCCTTTCAAGCGGCTACCCCCCCAGTGTCTTTATCCGGTCTGCCGCGTTTCGTCTGCATCCAGCTGATGGGACTGACTTAGTTGAGGGGGTGTGCAAGGTGAGGCATGGCTCTGAATCCGGGCAGTATCGAAGCAGCTTGAAGAGATTCGCGTCGATGGAGCGGCATCTTCAGGGCATTACAGTCTGCCTTTCGAGCTAGGCATGTTGGCAATCAAGCCTGGGCACCAAGCGTAGCGGATGTCGTGCACCTGGATGAGGAATGGTCCGACCTTGCATCGTTGAAGGGCGCTGATGTTCTGCCGCTTATCACCGACATTGGCTTGGACCTGGGCCTCGACGGCAGCAACTCAGGCCGGGAGATGTGAAGAACGCTTAGCATGTTGATAAACTCAGTGTCATCCTTGCCCGGATTTCTCATCAACTTCGGATATTTTGTGCAGGCTTGGAGATCTCCGGAGCTTCTGGCTCCTGCAGTTTCATTGCGGATTTCGGTGCGACTGGCCAGCATCTATAGGACAGCTGGCCGTGCAAAAGCAGCATGCTACGTTCAAGCCACTGCACCTCTACATCGTTTTGCCCAAGACTGCGGGTGTTGTCCCACATGTCTTGGAATGCCGGGTCGACATGCGAGATGTAGATAGCGGGCGAATTTGCGGCTTCATTTGTTGCCATCACATGAGACCTGATCCGGTGTTGAGATCCTGGACATCCCCTTGGTGGGGCACATTCGCAGCCGTGCGGGGCTCCGGCTTCTCGACTTTGGAAGCCGTGAAAGTGGAATGGTGGTGGGGGTGGGCTGCAGGCCTTCGTCTTTCTCGAGAGTCTGAGTCGGTTTTGACGAGGTACAGCCCGCTGTATCCAAGCGGGGCGCTGGAGCTTGGCTTCCGGAAGGCCCTCCTCAGGTGAAGCGATGTACAACGATGTCCCTTGTGGCGCCACAACATGACTAGCACCCCTCTGAATGTCACTTGTTGCGTAGCCAGGAACTGCGCACGGACACCGCACAAGGCTACCAGCTTTTTATGGGCCTTCAGTCTACAGGCGGAGCATGGCGAGCGTAGCTAGGGTCACACATCGCCATGTCTATCTTGGCTGCGGCTTCGCTAGTTGAAGGTGATGACCGCCGGCTGGACATGCTGGCAGACATTGGGGCGCCACTTGCCGGAAGCGTCGATTGGGTCCGTTCTTGTCATGTCTTGTCGGGTGTGCTGCACGTACTACACTGGCCGCTGGGCCGACTTTCATGCTGAACCAACCTTCACCATGCAAGCACCAGAGACGTCCCTTTTCGTGGGACCACTCGGAAACCGTGCGTTTTTCTTTTCTGTCTGTGCGCAAACCCAGGAAGCCAGCGAGTGAGTGAACCCGGGACAGCAACAAAAAAAACTTGCCCCCGAAAGGACAGCATAAAAAGCACGCGCCCGAATCATTCGGGACAGCGTTTTTTGTTTTTGCCGTGGCGGGGACTCTTTTGTTTTTGCTGTCGTCCCCGGACCTTTTTTTGGCTGTTGTTGCGCCGATGTGTTGTTTGTTGCTGTAGTCCCTTCGGCGACCCTGCAACGACAGCAGAATAGACTCTTACCGAGACCACTCGCGGAATTTTGCTGCATGCCAGCATTGTATAATGCGACCTTCCGAGCTGAGGTTGAAGCTGTTCCGGAAGGCGCGTGCCTTCTATCGTTTCTTGTGGGGCTTCGGTGGCCCATATGAAGCAGGAGGAGCTGGCAAACGGAAGCGTTTACTGAGCGGGTCCTTGAGACCATGCTTCGCAGATAGACTTAGCATCTCAACGAGCACTTGACAGGAGCCAAAGAGTCCAAAGAGGAAGAGGCGGCAAGAGGGCCCAAGTGGAATCAGATGGGCTCGTCCCTGGGAGTCACCCAGACAGAGATGCCTCCCCACAAGCGAGGCCGGAGACAGATAGCAGATTTTACGCTTGCGAGTGGGCCAAATGGATAGTCGGAGCTGAACGAAAACACGCATGATGTCACGCATGTTCCCTGAAATCGTCCCACATTGAGCTACAACAGGACAGCTGACAATTGGCTGGCGCACTGGGCTCTTGGACGTAGGGCTTGCCACTGGACACCATGTGTTTTGTCGGGCGTTTTCATGTGCTTTGGTAAAGCGATGTACAGTGACACGGCTGTACCTTTGCCAGCCCAGTGTCCTGCAAAGCAGCCTTGCTTGGATTTCTAGCGGCCCGAAAAGCTCAGGAAGGTGGAAAGGTCCAACCGGCCGCCGCGGCCCGCGCCCACAGAACCACAAAATCTCGAGGCCAGCTAATCCTCACTGCTGCGATGGGATCCTTTCAGGAAGTGGCGTAATGTCTCATCGCATGATGAGTTGATTTCGGCACGTCGGCTATGTGTCGTGCAGCCATCACATGTTGTTGCGCTGCTTGCTTTTCCGATCCATGGGTGGAACAAGGGCTGCGCGACAACCTCTTGGACTCGTCGCCCTGTGCCTCGTACTCCATCGATCTGGTCACAAAACGCCTGGGTGCTGCGCAGGAGCGCGGCTTTTGTTTTTGAGTCGCTGTCGGGTGCAGGTGACAGTGGCCCCAGCACCATTACAAGTCACGTTGCCTGCAGAGGTGTCCTGGACAGTTCTACCGGAACATCGCGTTCTCGAGCATGCTTTGCACATTCGAAGCAAAGCAGATGATTCTGGGGGCAAGGCAGCCCGGGAATCATGGGCCTCACGCATTCCATGGCGATTCCATGGAGAGGCGACGCTGACGGCCCTCCTGGAGCAATCGCTCTGTGCTCATCGAGCACGACTCCGACTCGGCCCCTTATGGGAGACGGGATGTAGATGCGAGTAGCAGTATTGGGGAACCGCTTAAGGTTTTTGTTTTTCATATTGGGTTTCTCGATGCTGGGCACGGCAGCGTATGCTTAGCCTTCTTGGCAAAGCTTTGTTGTTATTGAGTTCCGGATGCGGCGCGGGGCAGGAACAGCTTAGCCTTGTTGTGTACCCAGGTCTGTTTGTTACTCTTGGGTTCCTGGATGCCGGGCAGGACAAGCTTGGTAGCATCATTAGGAAACACCAAAGCTTTGTTTTACATATTGGGTTCCCCGATGCTGGGCAGGGCAGCGTATGCTTAGCAATGTTGGTGACCAGATCTTTGTTTTTATTCGGTTCCCGGATGCTGGGCAGGGCAGCGGAAGCTCAGGAGTATTGAGGACCCAGGTTGCCTTTTGTATTAGTGGTATCCCGGATGCTGCGCAGGGTTGGGAAAGCTTATCACTAGCGTGTTGCCCCATATCTGATCAGTATTTATTTCGGCCGGAGAAAATTCTTGTAATGTTGGAAGCCCTGCTTGCAAAAATTGCTCAAAGAACATTGCTCTATTTTGGGTCCCCTAATCCCTGCTTCCAAACCTTTTTGTTTTTGGGCCCCCCAAACAGACCGGGGTACTGGATCGACAGAAACGAGCTTTTCAGGATTGGGGGACCCCAAACTAATCAGATCCCAACATAGCCTAAAAGGGACATGCAACCGCCTAGGGCCTAGAGGACTAGAGGCCCTATAGGCCGTCAGCGCACGTGGGGTGCATTATGGGCGACGCCAGAGTGCCAACACTTGGAGTTTAAAGTTTGGGCAGGTGCAAGCTACGAGCGTGATTGATGCTGTTTGTGGCAAAGTCCGCGATGTACATTTAGTTTCGTTTCTGATGCACAAGCATATACGTGCCGGTGCTTAGATAAGAAAGTGGAATAAAGACAACCGGGCGTGCAGAGCCAGCACGTCCGATGGAGATGTTTCATGAGACCGGGACCGTCCGTCTGACTGTCCCGCTCAGCAATGTCTTCAAAAAGGCCGTCATCCTCGCTCGCTTCTTATTTGTTGCTGCGCCGACGGATTTGAGAAGCCAGGCCTCCTTTATGGGGTACTCGTATCCATCCGAAGCAAAGCCCCAGGATGAGGACTGCAGAGAAGTCAAGTGGGCTTGGACGCAGAGTTTCGTGCATAGGGTCTATAGGCCTAGGCGGCCTAGGGCATGCCGCTGCAATCCAAGAAATGCTGCCAGTTTGCCGAATTGACTTCTTGTGCAGAGAGGGCGATGAGAGCGTGGAAACGAATACTGGACAGGATGGCTGTTTCAGCGCATTCTTGCCTGGCACCCGGCCCAACCAGATGATTGCAGACAAACGACTTTGCTGAGTCTCTGCGGGTCCTGTGGAAGGCGATGACCTCGCTCGGGTGAGGGGTCGAAGAGGGACAAGGTGTTGGCGGGATCGGTGCTGAGCTGTAGCATCGTGGCTTTCCCACAGCTTTGACCGCACTTCTGGGTATCTTCAATTCAACCGAAGCATGCGTTCAGTAATGCAGAGCCAGAACACCATGTCCCCACAGACTTTTCGGATGCGTTCTTGAGCTCCGAGTCAGATTGCGGACTGTAGCAATCCCAAGCTTAGAGCGCTTCACGCTGATGTGAGGGCCGGGAAGTTTCAGTAAGGAAATGGGAACATAGCAAGGAGACTGACCCAGGACTTTTTCGTCAGCTTGGGAGGAAATATTTGATTTCGACAGGGTTGCAGTCGCTGTGCCCAGCAGCTGCCACGTGTGTTGACTATGATGAGGTTGGCATAGGCCGAGCGATCGAAGACCAGATCGATGTACAAGCCTCACTACACCTTGCTGGGATCAGACTCCGCAGAAAGGATGAAGCGAGCCTTTGACTCCATTGGTGGGCTTTGATCCTAGCCATGCGAAAGGGAAAACTCCATGGTTGTTGTGCGCAGAAGACAAAGACAATCAGTCTGACCCCGACCCCTGACCAACGCATACCAAGGCCTGGGAAGTATGGGGTGAGTAGCCATAGTAAGCAAAGTCAAGTCCAGAAGCAAGCCGTTGAGCTTCCACGTCTTCGCAGCGCCTCAGCGCTCGTTGTTAACAGTGGTTGTAGCCGCTTGCTGTTTGCTACCGCCGAACCTGTTGAGACGAGACGACCATGGCATCCGCAGAGGTACCATAAGACCAGCTCTTGCTCTTGTGACGAACCATGGAGCCACAAGGATGCGCAAAAATCATGCTATGGGACATGATGGGACTTTGGGACTTTGACGACAGGTTTGGCTATCGACATGATGTTTAGCCAAACCCGTCGTTTGCGAGACCCTGCTTTTCCAAAGTCGAGGTTCTGCCATGAGACGCAGAACCCAGGGCCACTCAGTAGGACGAGAACTGGAGCCCCGACTTCTTTGGGGCCATGCTACTCGTTATTGTACTGTGGCCATGGCGGCAATCAATGCTGCATGTAATACGTGATTCCTCTCGCCATCTTCGTTCAGGGCTCCGGTGACAGATTCGTGTTTTCGAGTTTCAGGGTCTCGCGTCCAAAATTCACAAGCTGGATCCGCTAGCTCCGCTGGCTGACATGGGGGATGGCAGCACGGCGCTCGGGGCATCGACCCAGGTTGGACTTCGGTTCGCAGTCCAGCCCTGTATTTGTGGCGCACCCTGTTGCCCATGAGTTCAGCAGCTCACAAGGAGAGAAAGGAACCGCAACTTGGCGCTGCAGCAAAATTGTCAACCCTCGCACGAAGTGACCTTGACAGAAGGAGCGAAGATGCACGAGGCTTTTGGGAACCAGCGAGGGGTTTGCAACATGTCGTGTCTGAGTCGGCAACAGCAAGGCTGCGGTGGATAGCTTCGGCTGTACGTGCTGTTCAAATTAACTACGGCATATCGCACTTTCGTGGGCACTCGGAAGGCTCCCATATGCTCCCATGAGCGAAGGCTAAGAACTTCAGCTGGACTGAGCCTAGCACGGTAAGCTACCGGAGCTTGCTGCGATGTGAAGGAATGAGACAAGGATAATCATCAATATCCGGCATGCGTAGCTGCCAGCCCTGCAAATTCAAGCCATGCTGCCGCGGCCGTACGCTTGCAGGACTCGCTTGACAGCTGTATGGCATTGAATTTCGCTGCTCGTTGTGCGGGCAGCGGGTCCGGCAAGGTCCTCAACCAACCAAGCAAAGCTCTCGATCGCGCGAGGCCACGGGCATGTGTCCTGCTTGCTTGCTGTGGTGTTGCGTCGGGAACTCGGGAGTTTCACATCCCCAAGAAAGCCCGGGATGAGTAGCATGTTCCACTTTCGTCTCCGTAGAACGTGCGATTTTTGTATGCCCGCGCAACGTTGTGGCTCGTGTGGTTAACAGTTTAGAGTGTTTGCATCTGAGGTTCGGAGATACAGCAGCTTTGGAGAGATGCTCTTTCGAGGTTGTGCCACCATTGCGATCGCACAGCCGTGGTCAGATGCGTAGCTGACGAAGAGGTTCGGATGTAGCAACGGTCGCCACAAATCGGCCAGCCTGCAGGTGGTAATGGTTGATGATCGGCCTTGGAAAAGGCTGGCAGCACCACAAGCCCCATATTGGGCTGCTCGGACGCAGCCGGGAGGTCCCAACTAGATTCGGGAACAGGTGAGCGAAACATGCAATATGGATGACCATCTCAGCAGAGAGACTCAGCCAAGCTCAGGTTTTGGGTGCGGCCTTAAATTATGCCGGAGTCTCAGGTTTCGGAACGCATGGCTTTGTGGGGCTTAGCTTGCCTTGCCTACCCAACAGTCAAGATGACAAAAGAGAAGGACTCTTGACTCTTGGCAGAATCTGCTGCCGTGTGCGACGGTCGTTGGAATGGCAGTATGATGATGAAGCTGAGGCTTCAATGATGAGTCTGCGAGGGAAGTCTAACCAGTCGCCCCTGTACGAACCAAAGACCAAGTCCCAATATTGGTGTTTCCCCGTGCTGTTCTAAGGCTTATGCGATGCACTTTTCTTACAGGATCCGCCTTGCCATGCGCTCAGCCTTGTCCGCTTTCGCCCTGTCCGCTGGCTCTGCCAGCCTTGGTTGCACCGCTTCAACGATGACCGGAGCAGCCCTCAAGTTGAGAGAAGTCGGCATGCAGGTGCGGCCGTACCATTGGACCGACCCCTACAAAGGCATGCAAGGCTGCCCGAAGTCCCAGCCAGGATCGTTGCAGCACCAGCGCGAGAGTTTCAGCGACATGCAGGATCTTATCCTGGTTGGAACAAAGTGCTGTACTTCTCGGAGCTTCTGAGAGAAAGCCAACAGCGCTGTACATGGACACCCGGTCGGCATAACGAGAGTTGCCGTTTCTGAAGTTTGCTCGGTACGAGCAATGACTACAACATAGGCTCGGCTCAGCATTCAGTGACAAGTGTCTCCTTTTGGAAACAGGTGTTGTACAGGACTGCCAGCATCTGCCGAATTGTGGGCCTCAGGCTTCTCTACCTGGACTGCGATGCCTTTGTTCGGGCGTTCGTGCCGTTTACATCACTGCCCCTTGGCACGAACGATGTGCATGTGGTTAGCGGTCCTAGCACCAGCCTGGTGCGCCAAGATTGTAGGACTTTGTAGTCTAAGAACCATGAAGCAGCAGCAGGCTTTCAGATCTGGCTCGGCGATATGGTCTGAACACGGGCAATTGCGAAGGCTGGGTTCCCCCCTGCTGTTGAAAGGGGTTCCGGTAATTCGTCCTGAGTCTTGGGTCTTTGCGTCCGAGGAACCTCTGCCATCTTCGCGCGTGAGGATCCAATGCCCTTCCTGAACTTGAGCAGCGGACCGATGCCCGACTGGATAAGGAATACTGTACTTGATGGTCAACCGGTTGACGGCTTCTGCGTCAGCAGTTGTGGCATAGACAAGAATTAGGAAAAAGCTGTTAAGTTTGGCGACTTTTGCTTTCGGTCTCGATTGTTTCTCGGCTGTGACCAGGATGCCGACCGGCGCCGTGCCTGCAGCACCTTTCATAAACACAGGCAGGACAGCGGCATGAACACCACCTCTGAT